ACATCAGTACAGGAAGAGAAGCCTTCTACAAGCAAGGAGGCCAATCCTCTATTTGCCAAAAAAGTCCCACCAGACCGGTTCATCAGATGTCCCATCTCCAGAAAGGTACACAAGGCAAGATTGGTAACCTCGCCCATAGCTCACCTCCGATCAATCCAGGCCATAGAGAGGGTACCAAAGAGAGAAGAAGGAAGAGGATTCTATTCCATCCTCTTTGTGATCCCGAAGACATCTGGAGGGTGGAGAGCAATATTGGACCTGAAGGGCCTGAATTATTATGTAAAATACAGGAGGTTCAAGATGCAGTCCTTGAAATCCATCCTAGCCAGCGTCAGGAAGGGCGACCTCCTGTCCTCAATAGATCTCACGGAGGCGTACCTGCATATCCCCATTCACCCCAGTTACCGGAAATTCCTCAGATTTACGTACACGGGCAGGCATTACCAATACAGGGCCCTACCCTTCGGGCTATCCTCAGCCCCAAGGGTATTTACCAAGATCCTAGCGGTAATAGCGGCCCATCTCAGGCTGATGCCGGTACGCGTACAGTTTTATCTGGACGACATCTTGATTCAGTCCAGATCGTAGGAGCAAGCAAGGGCAGATCTCCAGACCACAATCCGAACCCTACAAGGGCATGGATTTTCGGTCAATATAGACAAGAGCCATCTCACTCCCTCAAGGAGACTGCAGCACCTAGGCGCGGTGATAGACTCGGCGCAGTGCAGGGTATACCTTTCCCAGGAGCGGCAGACCAGCATTTCCAAGCTAATTCACCAAATTCAGAGAATCAGGAGAGTGTCCTTGATACAGCTCTCGAAACTCCTGGGAAAGATGATATCTTGCATGGGCGTTGTCCCATGGGCAAGGCTCCACTCGAGGGAGTTGCAGTGGTTCCTCCTACCCTACCAGAGGAGGAATCTCAGTACCTCCAACAGGAAGGTCTTGGTACCAGTTCAGGTGAGAAGATCACTGAAATGGTGGACATCCCCCATGATACTCAAGGGGAGTATATTCAGGGAACCGAACAGGGTCACGCTCACGACAGACGCGAGCCTATTCGGATGGGGAGCCCACCTGGGAACCCAGATAGCGCAGGGCCAGTGGAACCAGAAGGACCTTTCACACAGCATCAACTGGCTAGAGCTCCGGGCCATCCACCTGGCTCTACGTCATTTCTCCCACCTAGTAACAAGAAGACACGTCCTCGTATTAACAGACAATGTAGCAGCCAAGGCACATGTAAACAAGGAGGGGGGAACGCGATCAGCGGAACTAATGAAGGAGGCATTAGCTCTGGCGCGGTGGGCAGAAACCAACGTGAGTTCCATCAGAGCGGAACACATCTCAGGGGAGACAAATACCCAGGCAGACTCCCTGAGCAGAGCCAAGGTGGATCAGTCGGAATGGCGCCTGGATCCGGCTCTGTTCGAGGAGATCTCCCAGAGGTTCGGACAACCGCATCTGGACCTATTTGCCAACCCCAAGAACACACAACTCCCCAGGTTCTTCTCCAGATTCCCGTCCCCGGGGGCGGAGGGAACAGATGCTCTCAGGTGTCGGTGGCCGGCGCAACTCCTGTATGCCTTTCCACCGCTGCCCTTAATACCGGCAACCATACGCAAGTTGATCCTGGAAGGCGCAGAGGTAATCTGCATTGCCCCGCATTGGCCACGGCGCCCGTGGTTTGCCGACCTCGTGGACCTTTCGATATCACCCCCATGGAGGATTCCCCCGGACAGAGTAAGTCTCAGCCAGGGCAAGTTTTTGCACCCAGATCCCCAGTGGCTACAACTAGCCGTTTGGCATTTGAGCGGCAAAGTCTAGCCAAGCAATCCTACTCGGAAGGGGTGATATCGATCATACAAGCATCACGATGATCGTCCACTAACAGGATTTACGATGCTACATGGAAAGGTTTTTGCAGGTGGTGCGTCCCTCTCCGCCTAGATCCAGCCGCAGTATCTATCCCCAATATCCTAGACTATCTCTTGGAGGGTCTTAATAAGGGCCTATCAGTCAACACTATTCGCAGACAGGTATCGGCCCTCTCAACTGTACTCTCCTGTGACAACTTAACATCCCTAGCACAGCATCCAGCGATTAGCGCCTTTTTAAAAGGGGCGACCAACACAAAACCCCCCGTCATACACAGGTACCCGTCTTGGAACTTGCCTAAAGTTCTTCTGGCGTTGACATCAGCACCCTTCGAGCCTCTTGAATCATGTTCTCTTCATCACCTATCGCTGAAGGTAGCCTTTCTTGTGGCAATTACTTCAGCAAGGAGAATTTCAGAACTAGCGGCACTGTCAGTAAGGAAGGATCTTTGTACTTTCTTCAAGGACAAGGTCGTTCTTAGACCAGATCTGGCTTTCATTCTGAAGGTAAACAGCATCTTCCACAGATCTCAGGAACTGACTCTTCCTGATTTCTGCCCAAAACCCAAACATAGGCTAGAGCATAGATGGCACAGGCTGGACGTGCGTAGAGCGCTGTGTTTCTACGTGAAACGCACTTCGTCCTTCCGCAAGACGGAAGCATTATTTGTTTCCTTTCAACCATCAACTATGGGAAAGAAGGTGTCATCTTCTACCATAGGTAGGTGGATCAGAGCCTGCATAGCCCAAGCCTACGTCTCGCAGGAACTTCCAGTACCTACACATGTGACTGCCCATTCAACACGGAGCGCAGCCACATCTGCGGCGTGGTTGACACAAGCGTCGGTGGAAGAAATTTGCAAGGTCGCAACTTGGTCTTCGCCTTCTGTCTTCATTCGGCATTACCGTTTAGACTCCTTTGCCGCAGCGGATGCTGCCTTTGGTAGAAGAGTGCTACAGCAAGTCGTATCTGCTCAGGGTTCGGGGGCCTAGACATTCCCTCCCAGGGGGACATGAGGGCTTTGGTATGTCCCATCCATTGGACTCTACAGCCATCCTGCTGGAGAAGGGGCGTTGTCTTACCTGAACGCCTTTTCTCAGCAGGATGATGTAGGGTCCAAGCCCACCCAGGTGTTAGGTCTAGGCAGGTATAAGATAAAGAGCTACAGTATTAATTCCAACAAAGTTTCTCGCCTAAGTCAAAACTGGGGTCACGCCCAAAGGAAGGGGTGTGGCCAAAGTTTTTACCCAGTCTGCCGGGCAGGAAGGCTGTCATAGAACCCATCCATTGGACTCTACATCATCCTGCTGAGAAAAGGCGTTCAGGTAAGACAACGCCCCTTCTCAGCATTAAATAATATCAAAACCAACAAAAGAAACAGATTGACAGATGAGGTTAGTAGCGCTTGCTTGGGCCTGAAGTGTACAAAATACCAATCTTCAATTGAAGATTTAGCCAATGAAATTCAGCAACAAAAAAGTCACTAATATGCAGGTTAGTTAAAGAATTCGCCCTCCCCCTCACTTATCTCAGTTCACGGCACCCCAAACAAGTTCAATAATATCAAGGGCAACATACGAAATCGACAAATTGATGAACAAAGAAGTTACTAAGCAGGTATGTTAAATAATTTGTTTTTGGTTTATTAAATACAATTATATATTGCAATTATACATTTTTGTAGTTTAAACTATAAATTGCGCAAAATTGTGTTTTTTTGTCAAAGTAACATATAACTCACCACGCGAGTTATGCTCGATTTTTTGCCGAATGTTGACACACCATGCCGAAAAGGTTGCCCATCACTGGCTTAGTTAAAACTTTCATTGATTCTTCTTCGGTTGCTTGTCATATTTCTGTGAGTGTTCCATCAGTTTCTCTGGCCCTCTGACTTGGTAAGGACTGGAGTGCTGATGTAGCTTCATGTACTAATACTAGACATACTTGTAAGTAGGAAATAGCTTCTAAAGTATCTGGGATGTTAACATATCTATTGTACATTATTTCTGTATATTCCTTCCATCTTTTAAAAAAAATTTCTTTGAATCAGTTACTATCTCTCCACTATCATTGGAACCTCCTGAATTTAGAGATCTTTTGGAAGTTCTTTTTACAGGTCTGTTTCCATCTTCAAAGTCTCTACATTCGCAATTGTAATAGTGCTTCTTCCAACTGTTCCCTGAAGCTTTGTTAATTTTTTTTCCTGAGATTTTTGTCTTTCTTGGCTTTGACTTCTCATTGTGACAACCAAGCTCAGAGAGCACCAAGGACCCCACTGTATTTTATAGTTTGGAAAAGAGTTAATAGTTGAATTCTGTCTGGGTTATCATTTCTTGATAGGTGGTGTATTAACCAAGTAAGTAAAAGAAGTAGAACCATTCTGTTTTAAGTCTTGACAACTGGTTGCTTCACTCAGATCGATGCTTCTTTGAACCACTAGCAGATACGTACACCTTTGACAGAAATATATAAACTTGGGTTGAAATTCCCAAACCAAACTCTGTACTTCAGGCTAAATTGCACATTAATTCTTCATAATGCACATTCTGACATTGTGTATCTTGCAACTCCATAACAAAAGAACTGAAGCTGTAGGTGCTATGAATGTGCTGATGGAGAAGCAGAACATTTTCATTGAGTATTTTCATTTCATGAAACTGAAACTAAATTGAAGTTAAACTGAAATTTTTGAACTAAATTGACTGTTATGTTTGCTATTTATCTGTTCCAAAACTTTTTGAAGCACTAACCTGAGAGGTATTTTCACTTCCTCTTCATATTTCTAGTTTTGATTCTGAAAACAACTGAGCACCCATTTTAAAAATTAGTATTTTCATTGTTGGGTCCTTCCTGCTGGGCATCTGTACCAGAACGGTAGCTTGAATACAATAGATCAATTGAATGTAGTACGGATACTTTTATGTATCCACATTTCTATACAGAATTCAAGGAACAAAGATTATAAATACAAAAATGTACAATAATAAAATTATACATATCATCTAAAATTCTCCAAATAAACCAGATGCGTTTTGTTATTATAATAAAATAGATAATTTGATTTTCTTTTCTAAATTATATGATGCAACCCTGATTTTCTTTTACCTCTATTGGGTTTTCAGGCTCCAGTCCCAAAGAGCATGCTGGTTCCTGTGATACCAATAGCTAAGTCAAGTGGATCCCGTTTCCGTAATAGCATAGAAGGGCTGAATCAGGAGATTGAAATAATCATAAAAGAGACTGGAGAGAAAGAAGAACAACTTATTGTGAGTATATTTGTACTCAAACAGGCCTTCAGATAAGGAGAGCTGAGTCCATCGTGCCTATATATAAGCATATCTTGGTATACATGAGCATATGGAGTATGAAAGAGAACTGTTACATCAAGACCTGTATGGGGAAAATATAATATTTAGAATTATGACATTCAGCATCCATAGATAAAGCCAGGAATAAGCATCATTCCTACATACCAGAGTCTTATCACTACCCCTGTTTCATATTAGCTTTACCCTTTAATTTGGATTTCTCTGAAATTATAGTTCTTCTTGTCTAAACTTGGGAACTGTATTAATGTCAGTAATAACAGAATCTTAAACCAGAATTAGGCCTTTATTTCTAGTTAACACACTTACATTGAGCCTTGTTTTCTTGTGGAACATAAGGAGGAACAGTGGTTGCATATGTGCATGAATTGGAGCTCTGAAGGGCTTCTTTATGAGACTCCCAATCCTTATATTTAGTTCGGTTTCCTTTTTTTGGGGTGGGGGACCTGAAGAATAACTGATTTTCAGTTGAAGAGCTTTTATTGTTGGCAAAGCAATAAAATCGTCTTTATTTTTCATTTTATTAAAGTCACCAGACAAGATTAATAGTGTGTGGTGTGTAAGAGGTATGTAATATGTTTTTGTTCGACAGCCACAAGATATTCCAGATGGGCATCGAGCGCCACCTCCTTTAGTGCAGCGTAGCAGCAGTACTCGCAGCATTGACACACAGACTCCGGGTGGAGCAGAGAAAGGCAGTAACAACAGCAGCCGATCTCAGTCTATTTCCCCTAGCTCCTTCCTGGCTATCTCCAATGAGGGCAGTGAGGAGAGCCCTTGCTCTGCAGACGACCTGCTTATGGACCCCAGAGATAAAGGTATTTCCTGAAAAGTGTTCCAGTGCTTTCCTTAGAGGGGAAGCTCTAGGGACTAACCCTTCAATTAAGAAACCTTGTTTGTTTCCTGGGTATTTGAGTTACAGGCCAAAATTCACAGTTTCTTTTGTCAGTGCAGGCAAGGTATTTATCACCTGCCAAAGGGAAGCTCAACTTTGAGTCATATCATAAATGACTTTTCAAAATGTTTCCAGTTTCCTGTGCTGTATGAAAGTTTTAAGCACAGGATCTTGTGGGCTAATAGAACTACTTTTTTCATGGGGGGGGGAGAGAAATGGGGGAATAGTTTATTCTTCATTATTAGAAGTGGGAAAAGTTGTATTATTTTAGCTGGGGTTTTTTGGGTAATCGTTCCTCTGTTGCCTACCAGTTTAATTTTATATTTTGTTTCTTTGTACTTAATGGAGGTATATAAATGTTTAAAAATAATTCATATAAGGAGTTGATTGTTTTGATTTGTTTTTACTTAACATGCATATACATATCTAAGTAGACTCAAGAAGGTGAAGAAGGGAGATGGAGGGGTCATAGAAAATCGTAAATTAAATCACATTTTTTAAAGCAAATGAATCAATGTCTGCCACCTGGATAGCTATGCCTTTGTTTAGCTGTAGGGTTAAATGCTGCCAGAGGTAATAGTTCAGCTGTTACATGTTGATGAGCAAAATGCTTATATAGGTCAGCCGGTAGGTCTGTGCTTTTCACCAGTCCAAACTTGACTAATGATCAAGAATTATGTAAGTGATCATCCAAAACATCTGGAGAGTACCAGATTGCTTATCTTTGTATAACAAAAACCATGCAGACAGTAAGAAACTGCTTTATGCCAGGTGATCAGGCTTTTGTTTGCCTTTTAACATTGTTAATCAAGGAGTATGAGAAATGCAAAAATAATCTCATATGCATGTTGCAATATATGTGTGTGTGTGTGTGTGTGTGTGTGTGTGTGTGTGTGTGTGTGTGTATATATATATAACTGGCACTTTGCTCACTACAGAGAATGGAAACAATTCTCCTCTACCCAAATATGCTACATCACCAAAGCCCAACAACAGCTATATGTTCAAACGTGAACCTCCTGAAGGCTGTGAGAAAGTCAAAGTTTTTGAGGAAAGCTTGTAAGTTGCTATGATCTTCATAATTTTTTGAATCATAATATTTCACTAGGCGCCTGGTTTCTAAACTTTGAAGGTATAGCCTTATGCTTAATGTTTCTTACTTTTTGGGGTAAAGGAGGACATATCTATACATGTAGCTTTGTGTTTGTTTTGGGGGAGGGTTATAATTATTTAAAGCAGTTCCTAGACCACTTTTCAGAAAACAGGGATCATTCCTCCTTCATATGCATTTTGCAGAAATGTATTGACAAAATGCCTTTTGAATGTTTCCCTTTTTTTGAGATCTGCTGAAAACCTAAAGCAGTGTTTCCCATTTTGGTAACTTCCAAGTATGTGTACATCAGCCCCCAGAATTCTCATCAATGGCCCATTGATTTCTGGGATTTTTAAATCCACACACCGGAAAGCTGTCAAGGAACCATACCTCATTGGATTTAACGTGTCAATGCAGAGCTTTCTGTGTGCACTTTCTTTGGGAGGCTGTGGCCCAATAAAAAGATGACAACTAAGAATAAGATAACTGATGCTTCCAGATATGATAGAATCAAGGGTAGCCAACTTTGGCTTCTTTAGAGTTAGAGAGGAAAAAGAGACTGGTCCTTAGATAAAAGTAGTCCTCAACTTAATGACAATTCATTCAGCAACATTACAACTGGTCCTTGAAGTAGAACCATTGTAGCATTCCCATGGCTGTGTGATCAAAATTTGATCAGCCTTCCCGCATTTATGACTGCAGTGGTGCTTTAACTCACTCCTCACCTATCTCCCTCTCATCTATGCCTTTTTTGGCTCCTATGTTCTTTAGCCCCTGTCAGCCTAACTGATCTTTGCCCTCTTGCTCCTACTACTGACCAACCATATTTGGCCTGGCCCTTCACAAGGCAGCTGCTGGGCTGCACAAGGCTTTCTTCCCAAGGTCATCATGCACAGACCTGGGGAAGATGCCTGACATAGCCAGTAGCTGCCTTGTAAAAAGCCAGGGCAGGCAGCAGCAGGAGCAAGAAGATAAGCAAAGGTTAGCTGGGAGGCGGCGGACAGGGCGGCAGGGGCTTCGAAAGGCAGGGTGGCAAGGGTAATTGGCTTGGGCAGCGTTGCTGTTGGGGCTTCCCAGGATGCTGAGGCTTTGTGTCACTCTATTGAAATGCTGTGACTTTGCACTGCACAATTGCATCACTTAGCAGTAAAAATTCTAGTCCCAATTGTGGTAGTAAATGGAGGACTACCTATTGTATAATAGGTGTGCCAACATGTTTTGACTGCTTTATAAATAAACTTGGAGATAAAATTGCTACTGTATGTGGCAGTATTTCCTCCCCCCCCCCCATTTGTGGACAACTCTCATTTCGTTGGGACAAAAAGAGAAAAGTATTTCATGCTATGTCATACCACATACTGTAAACTTTAGGTAATTCCTTGCAGCCTTTAACTTTGCTAATCTTTAACTTCCAAATGTTAACACCCTGTGGCGTTGTTTTTCTGTTTGTAGGCCAAAACCTTTGCATGAAATTCCAGCCTTTTATTGTCCTGACAAGAATAAAGTTAACTTTATTCCTAAAAGTGGCTCTGCCTTCTGCCTTGTCAGCATTCTCAAGCCCCTTCTTCCCACACAAGATCTTACACTCAAAGGTGCTACTCATAATCTGACCGTCACGACTGGTATGACCCCCACGCTGCTGCAACCTCTTTCCATGGCCTCCCTTTCTGCAAACACAGACCAGGAGCGGCTCTCTCGTGGAACGAGCAAAGTAATATCACAGATGCCTGTGCTCCAGCAGTCAGGACATAGCGAAGAAACTGAAGGATAAGCTCTGCGTGGCTGTTTGGGGGGAGGGGGGCGGTTATGGAAACAACTGTGATTAAACTTTCCAGATGACATCTCTTTACATCACAACAGACGATCGTTCCATAAACAGGTCATAGGTAGTATCATATACACCCTGCCATGAATGCCAGCCTTCTGTGAGATCTAGGAAAAAAAGGAGCAGCCGAGAGCCAACTGCATTTGTCTTGGGATGATTCAGGTGCAGACTCTGAGCATGCTGCTTTGGTACCGTAAAGAAGGGAGATCTCCACAACTCCTCACAACTGGAGGGACCTCTTTTTTTTTTTTTCAGATACTTTACGTTTCAGTGTAAACTTTTGAGTTTGAACAATGAAAAAGACATCCCAACTTTTCTTAGCAGAATATCTGTTTTCAGGAGAAAAAAAAAAGGAAATCATTAATTCATATGAAGATAGTATTTACAAATGTGCATTTTTATTTTTATTTTTTGAAATTTCATCAGGATAATTGCACTTTCCTTGCTACATCTTTTTCACTGGGACCAATGGATTGAAACTTTTTCAGTATTCTGTCATAAGACCAGCTGATTTTGCTCCTTTTCCCAGATTAGCGTAACATCGTTCAGACAAAGAAGAAAAGCAATATTGTCACATGCTGAAGGGCAGGGGAAGGGGAAAAAAGCACATGTGTGGAATTTCTTGTCTGAAAATAGCATTTTAGTGCACTTCAGCTAATTATGTCGTGATTTATTTCTAATGTTGTATTTCAGGACATGTTTCCATCCTTTTTTCCCCAGAACGCCAACTAACTGTCACAACGGTGCCTCTTGGGACAACTTAGTTTTTTATGTTACTGTCAAAATCTTGAATTGCCTTTGGCATATATACCTGATTCTATCATGTCTTGCCACTATACTATATAAACCCTATAGTCATATGATCTTAAAGGGGCCATGCATGCATGGTGGTTTTTGCTTGTCAAAGTACTGTTTTGTGGGTCTGTTGAGGGTAATAGTTTGTCAGGCATGATATTGTTGAAGCAATTTATTTCAATGGACATGTCTCCTTTTGGAGTAGCAATATTGTTAGGGTGTTAAGCTAAGAACCTTTTTATGCTTTCATTGATGTGGCCCATTTCATTTTTAGTGCTTTTTTTTTAAAATGAACTATACTTATGGAAGAATTGAAGATAAGAAATTTCTGTTGTTACGTTTGCTTGTGAAAGGGTCTGAGCTAATAATGGATAGAAAAGTGTATTTACCAAGCTGATTAAATGACACAAGATAGAGCAGTTGGGGGAATAGTTAGAAAGAAGTTACATTTAGAAAGCAATATATTCTGGTATCTTTAAGTAAACAAAAGTATCATAGCAATGTAACCTAATTCCAGACTGGCAGATAAACAGACATAGCAGCATCAGCATGTTTTTGATGCAGTGTTAGTTGGAAATGGACCACATCCACCTCAAGTGGATCTTCCATTTGTTTTGCTGCATTAGTAATACAATATTTTAAATAATTACTCCTACATTGTTTGGCCTCTTGGTTCTTGTTAAAAATAATCAACTGAGTAAAAACTTGCATTTTGACTTACCCAGGTAGATGGTTGCTTTGTCCACTTAACAGCATAGGTTCTGATGCAGAAACGCTAATGCTATAATAGAGTTGTTCGTTTTTAAGGTACCAAAACACTTCTTTGCATTTGCTACCATAGAAGCCCCGTTCTGGTATTTCCTGAACGCAGGGAGGGGAGAGAGGAGACTGCACTTATAGAGCCCTCTTCTCCGCCAACTTTCTCCAGCCTGACATATCAGTAGAGGCTCTGAAAGATAGCTGGACTTGCATGCAAGATCACGTATGTTGTTAATGTGATCTTGCATTCTGCTGTAGTCCATTCCTAAAGCAAATGAGGAGCAGTATTTGCTTTTATGGTACATGAATGTACCAGAATAGAGCTCTTCCAACTTTTTTTCTGAACATATGGAGGTTTGTGAGAATAGAGATGACATTATATGCCCAGGTCTGTTTTCTCTCCACTGGTCCAAGCAAATGCATGAAGGGGCTGGACAGACAACACTATCCTTGTGGAAGTCTTTTTAAAGTATTATTTGATTGCTGTTGTATTTTGATCCTATATTGTATTGCTTTATTTTTATTTCTGTTTTATTCTGTATTCAGATATTTTAGCAGAGCAAAATAGTCTTACACCCATTCCACAGTCTTAAATTTGTGGGTCATCTAGATTTACTCTATGAAACATTTATAATGGGAGAGCTAAGTATTTCTTACTTGACTTAAAGGTATTTTAATTTTAGTTTAAAGCAGATGTAGGTTGTGTGAGAGAACAGTATCTTGCAAAAAAAAAAAAGGCATTGCTCAAACAATGTGAAGCCTCTTTTACTGCTAGACACATATGTGCATTCTCAAAATGTTTAATGCTCCAGCTTTATGAAACAAGAGCGTTGGGTATATTTGTGCAAAAGGATATCTGCACTTTATATCAACTCTTGTTGTTTCATGTTAAGGAGCAGTTTAGATTTGACAGATTGTGTCAAATCCTTCAGGGGATTTGTGGAAATATTAAAGGGCCAAATTGCAATTAGGAATAATGAAAAATAGTGGGTCTTTGAACCCAAAACACTTTGTTTTCATGAATCTGTGTAAGGTGTGTTCAAGTTGAATATATTGAAATCTTTTAGACATTTTTACTGTCCTCATTGATGCCAGAACATCAATGTGTTAGTAGACATTTGAGGCTGGCCTTCAAATGCACATTTAAAAAACTGACACTTCAACTTTTATTAAGAGAACAGAAGGTATTTAGCCCCTGTGATTGTAATAAATTAAGGATTTATATGTCATCACCAGCAAGGGCTTGATTAAAATATTTCCATTTTTATGCAGTGAGAGGACTCAATTGATTTGCAGCCACAAGATGTTAGCTCATAGCAACCATAGTTTTTGTTTAAAATGGCAGTTTTGATGTTTCTTCAAACCTCATATTAGCTGTCTGTGTGGTAAGTTACCCTTCTGTGGTATGCAAGCATTTAAGCTAATGATTTCAAGAGAGGTAGGAATGATAAAGTACAAGGAAATTTGTAAAAACAAGGCAGAGAAGTCGGGACTCTTTTCCACAGTCAGAGGCATTGTACTTCCAAGTCACTTGGAGAGCTCCAAGTATTCTCTCTCTTCCAAATGCAGCTAAAGAACTTGGGAGATTGTTGAGAAGCATTTTCCAGGGGTTGGTTTGAGAAAGAAGATGGTTTCTTTGCCTTTTATGATTCATGGTTAATAGTTCATGAGGCCTACTATCTATTTGAAAAAAAAGAGAAAGGATAATTCCTCTTATTCCTAAAGGCAGTCCCCAAAGTGGAACGGGGTGTTCTTCATGTACCCTTGGCCCTTGCTCTCTTTTGTCGGAGAGCTGCCAATATTCCCTGCTTGCAGTCACGGGAGTACATCTTATTTTCACCCAGCGTGTAGAGAAGCAGCAACATTGAGAGAAGGGGAGAAGAAAAATTGGGAAAATGAAAGAAAGCAAAATAGATTTAAGGACAGGTTTCAAATGGCAAAATGAGATTCAATGAACAACACATAAAGGAAGACACACTTCTTTCTTTATCTCTGTGCCTCTTTGCAAGTTAGTTAAAAATGTATACTACATGAGTTGCAAGTTTTTGGAGTTGAAAATCAAGAAAAAGACAGAAAAATAGTGGCCTGTTTAATATAGAAGTTGTTTGCTGACATGAAAATTGAACAGAAGTGGTCATATGGCAAAGATTCCTGAAATCTGTCAAAAAAAGAATCATTGTATCCTGTATTTGGAAATAGAAATTACAACGTCGTAATGTAACATGTGAAGACATTAAAAATCTAATGTCTTCAACTGATTTGTGATCATGTTCAGTGTAGCATATAACAAAGTGCATTATTAAGAACTGACTAAATATTTGCTGACTATTTTCTACACATTGGTTATAAAAGATAAGAGAAAAGGGGATTCTTGCCAGATCAAAATTCATCAATAGGCCTGCTCTGGACTGTAGTATATAGTTTATTTCCATCACCAACAGAATAAACAATGATATGGAGAACATTGATATTGCTTTGTACACCCTAATAATATTCTGTTCATGTTTTTGGAGTGCATTTAGGGAAAAGAGGAAACCTTAATAATGAGAAGTCTAAAGATAGCATTGAATTTTGCCTTGGTGGGTTGTTTGTTACTCTAAGGCAGGGGAGTACTTTAAATGATACAGATAGCAAAGTTCTGCCCTGCAAAGGCCTTGGAGAACAATGCAGGTATTCCTCAACTTATGATCACAATTGAGTCCAAAATTTCCATTGCTAAGCAAGACTTAAGGTAAGTTTTACCCCATTTTATGAGCTTTCTTGCCACAGTTGTTAAGTGAATTGCTGCAGTTGTTAAGTTAGTAACAGTTGTTAAGTGAATCTGCCCCCCCCCACTAACTTTGCTTATCAGAGGGTCACAAAAAAATCTCACATGACCCAGGACACTGCAGCGGTCATAAATATATCCCAGTCACACAACCTACAATAGTCATAAGTGTGAAAAACAGTCATAAGTCACTTTTCTCAGTGCTGTTCTAACCAAATAGTCATTGAATGGTTGTAAATCAGGGACTACCTGTAACAAATTGCATATATACTTAATGCTTACAACATAAGATGCTGCAATTTTTACTTCAGTTTGCACCAATGCTAGTCATCATAGAAAAAAAACATTATTTCTGATGACGTGGTTGTCTGCTTATGTAAGCTATTGGTGACTTGAAACTGGATCCTATAGAGAAGTTTTGTGGTTGATTTTCACGTGAAGGTAGCTGCACCACTTGACTAGACAGCAAGTTTGAAGATTTTTATGTTTTATAGTACATACTTCAGCATAAAACTATTCAACTACACTTGTGGCTAATTGAAGTCATACGTAGAATATCAAAAAACATCAAAAAGATCAAATTACTCTCTGTGACTTCCTGTCTCTGTTTCTCTCACACACATGAATAACTAATTTTCAAACGTGAGTTAGTGAGCAGGAATGTTTTTATGAGTTCTGGTTTCAAATGCCAATAAAATGTTCATGAAGTTGTATCTTTCCTCCCACTCTACTTCTACCTAAATATTGTATAAGTAACCTCTTTACAGCAGTTCACTGCCAGTAGTATGGGGTGTATTTTCCTTCCAGGTTCATCTTTTCTTGCTAGAGCCAGTACTAAGGATAAAGGTGTTACAGCTATGTGCTATAATTGCAAAGGCCAATTATGTTTGAATATGTAAGATTTTTTAAAATTTTTCTTCTCAGTGCACACTGGTGTGTTTGGGCATTTGTTTTTCTATTGTTTTTATTTTAATGATTGATGTACAATATGTCAACAAGAAATTTTATTGAATTTTTTTACAAAAAAAAATGTTTTCCTCACCTTTATGGAACTTGTACACTTTCAATAAATACTTCAACAAAATCATGTATTGCTTCTGTTTTTTCCTCTGTTTGGTTATAACATAATACAGAAATCTGATTTTGCTTACTAGAAGGTTTAAAACGACTGAAAAACTGAGGGGTATTTGTCAAATTGCTTTATCCCCACAGAAACACTGGTGTAAACTTGTTTATTTTAAAACAATTAATTAAAGTAATATTTAAAGATTTTCAAAAGTTACTTATATTGTAGAAGTTTAATCAATTGTTTGACATGGATATTGTTCTTAAGTGAGCTGAATTCATGCTCTTTCTCTGATGAAAACCCTGAACAGCCTTCTCTGAAATGAGTTCAGACTTGGTTGCTTTAAAGATGAAATACGAAGAATGCACAATGTGTGTATGCTAGCTACATATTATTAAAACATTCCAGTCTGTCTATAACCTTCAATTGGGCAAAACAGTGCATCACGTGGCAACAGCTTTTGAATCAACATACCTCTAATGGGGTATGCTAACTTAAAGAATGAGTCCAAAATCCAGGACCCATTAATTTCATGGGAATTAAATTTGGCGTAATAGTGGCCACTTCAGCTTTGCCATGCTGCCGCAGTCAGCCATATTCAAGTGATCATTATTCCCAATGCTCCTTGCTGGCTTCCCACAAGGAAAGTCAAAGAGGAAGCCAACAGGAATTCGGAAGTTCTGGTTTTTTTCTTACCTATGGTCATTCTCCTTCTCTTTAGGTAAAGAAGTATGTCTGAAATGACCCAATAGATCATGGGTTGCCTGGTAATTTGTAATTACTAAAATGTGAAAGGAATTTTACTAACAGATGGACATTTTAAATAATCATAGTTATTTCTGTTTTCAGTTGCTTCAATATATTGTTGGCTCTTAGAATAAAAAAATCTTTAATTTGTTTTTTCCTAAAACGCAGTAGTAAAATATCAATTCTTTTAAAATATGTTTGTTAGAAAGCATATACTAAAATAAGCTATAGATTTCTAATGTGATCTTGATTACATAACAGCAAAAAGACTAAAATTGCAGGGGTGGCTTATATTTTGAAGTGGATTTTGTTTACATCATGACAGATACTTCTTGCTACGGATAACTGTAGCAAGAAGATGTTTATCTATAAATAACTTGCTCTTAGGTGGTGGCACCACAGCTGGGGAGCAAGTCAAATAGCTAGACTTTAAGGAGAAAACCCTACACAATCTCTGACATTATGAAATTAAGGTTAAATTCAGCAAAAGAAAATGTATTGGAGGAGTTACTCTTTCATCTTTTAAAAAATCCCTTTAAAGGGAAAAGTTGAAAAATCTTTGAAGTATCTGCATTGCCTTGCATTATCTACTGTGCATTCAGAAAGTATTCAGACCCCTGCCGCTTTTGTCAATTTTGTTATGCTGAATGTAGATTACTGTATGTGAGCGTGTCCCTCAGCCTATGTAATTCCTAAATTGATTCTTGAGAAATAAAAATGTTAATGGCCCCAGACCAGTGTTTTGTTTGGCTAAGGAACAATCTCAACTGCTGGTTTTTCATATATATTGTACATACATATGTGTAGATGTATGTGCATTATTTGACTTACCTACTATGTCAGTCATTTGGTGAAACTAGATTAACTCAAAATTCCAAATATGTGGGAGAATCCAAAAGGTTTTTCTGATTCTGGAAAAAAAAAATATGAACATCTCAGAACTTCTGAGTTTACAGAGTTTTTCCTCAAGCATATTGATTACAAAAAAAGGGCATGTTTGTTCTGCAAATAAACATATGTATAGATATGCATACATACAAGTGGGGAAGAAAGAATCTCAAGGGGAAAAATGCAAAGTATGCCAAAACACCTTTACCAATTTTTTTGTTTGCTACCTTTTCCCAAAAATAAAACCTTGCAGTGTTTGTATAAATATTTCTATATACATCCTCCAAGACAGAAACATCTTTATTAAATTACAAAACAACATTACTTGATCACTTGATCTACTAAAACAAATACTGTACTGCTGTGCTAATATTTGTTAAAGTACTTGACAACTCATTCTGGATTCTTAAGGGAGGTTTTTGCATGACAAGATGTGTTAAGTTAAAAAGTTAATTAACATGCAAGTACCACAACTTTACTTCCACATCCACCCCAATTTAGTGCTGCATTTTAATCAAGCTTTGTGGACATTTGTGTTGTCTGAACCTGAAGCAGCTGCAGTTTGAATTTTCCAGAAACTGGGAATACATCCAAGATTTCTTTGAATGTGAAGGAACAGTTTTTGGAAACCAAGTATGTCAGCCATTTCACGCTGGGATGTTAACGTTTACTTAATGAGCTGTGTGCAGTAGGGTGGGATCCAGAAATATTCTCTGCTAGAGCTTATTTTCTGACTGTTGAAATGTTGTGGTCAGATATGTTCTCTGCTGCTTCCTCAATCAGAATACTGGAGAAAGGTTGTTTTGGCTATATACATATTTGCCTTAAAAAATGTATAGCACCTCTTCAGCTTATGAGCACAGTTGGAACAGGCATTTTTGTCATAAATCATTGGTTCTTTCTTGAATCTAAGTAGATTCTCAGCCACAACTGGAGTTAAATTCTTCCTTCTAGCCATGTGATGTTTCCAGGGATTTTTCTTTAAAAAAAAAAAAACCTGTATGTTGAATTCTTCCCTTGCTTGTTAATTTCAAGGACCTTAAACTTTCTTTACTAGAAGAAGGCACCACTCCACATGCTATAGTGTGCAGCTGAGCAAACGGGCATTTCTAAAGTTTGCACTTGTTAAAAAGATACATGTTATAATCCAAAGGTCTGTGTGTATACACCATTCATCCTTGTTCCCTTTACCCAGTGCTGAAAAGCCACCAGGTTTGCCCAGCAGCAAGGTTTCCTAAAAGTGATCTATAAAACTTTGGGTGCCACGCTGAGAATTCTTTAGAAGACATCATGATTTGACTAACTTACGATTGTAGGAAAAAGTGGAACATTTATGAGATGTGCGGTGGATTTATATACAAAGGCACTAGCTGCAAAGAGTTTTCAGGCTTAAGCATTTCCCATTGAAACCATGTAAGGAAAGTTTGCTTTTGTGACTTCTCAGTTGGCACAAAAAAGATAGGCCTCTGTGCTGTGATGATTAGGATGTTGGTCTAGGGCAGTGTTTCCCAACTTGACAATTTTAAGGCATGAGGACTTCAGCTGGCTGTGGAATTCTGGGAGTTGAAGTCCACATGCCTTAAAATTGTCAAGTTTGGGAAACACTGGTCTAGGGCACAGGTAGGCAATCTTGGCTCTTTTATGACTTGTAGACTTCAACTCCCAGAATTCCTGAGCCAGCCAGGAATTCTGGGAGTTGAAGTCCACGAGTCATAAAAGAGCCAAGGTTGCCTACCCCTGGTCTAGGAGTAGGAAGATCCAGGTTCAAGGTCACCCATAGCCAGGCATCCTTTCACCCCAAACTACCTTCTATTGTTGCACTTAGAACAGCGGCTCTCAACCTGTGGGTCGCGACCCCATTTGGGATCGAACGACCATTTCACGGGGGTCGCCAAACAAGGCTGTCCGCCAATTTTTCCCCTTTTCTTTAGCTGTGCTACTCCCTCTTATTCTATTGGCTTTTGAAAACCAATAGAATAGACTCTATTCAAGAGACTCTATTCTATTGGCGTTCGAAAGCCAATAGAATCTATTGGCTTTCGAAAGCCAATAGAATAAACTCTCTTGAATAGAGTCTAACTCTATTGGCTTTCAAAAGCCAATAGGAATTGTCCAGGCTGTCTCTGCCCTGCTGAGCCCGCCAAAAGCCCCAGTCTGCAAACGGTGCTGCAAGGAAAGCTTCCCTCCCTGCTGAGCAACTACTAAAAGTAAGTAAAAGAGGGCCAGGGGTGGGAGGTGGGAGGCTGGTGAGTGCAGGGAGGGTTTCTGGCACGGGTGGGGTCCGGCAGGTGCCTTACCTGCCTGGGCTGGGCCAGCTGGTGGCCCAGCCGGTGGTCACCCTGCACCGTCGCTGCCCCTTGCCAGCTAGGCCTTGGCCAGCGCAGGGGGTGGCACCACGCATGCGCGGCGCTCCCTGTCAGGGAAAGTCCTCGACTTACCATCAGTTGCTGGTCGCAGCATTAAAAAGGTTGAGAACCACTGACTTAGAAGGATGTAAGGAGAGATCCCCTTGTAAGGGGGTTGGAGTACAATGGGTGATCAGTTCTCTAGGAGCCAGGCAGTTTTGCTGCTGATTTTCTCAGGCACTCTTCTCAATTAATTGGGTGTGGTTTTTTAACTTTAATCTGGGATTGGAGGATCCCTTCAGGAGGGGGGAAAAAGAACAAAACCCAAACTATTCCAATTGAATAGATTTCCTGCAGCACCTGCAAATGATGAATCTTCTGAGAAAAATGGTCAAAATATTAAAAAAAATGTGTCTAATTGTTGCCTGCTGCTTTGGTTGCCAGGTGACTGAGGAAATGCTTTGCATAATTCTATGGTGGTAGTTATTTTCTGTAAAGTAATATGATGACTAGGCACGTTTCTCCCTTCCTTCTGAAGGAAGGGAGAGGTCGTTGCTTCCTGCTTTCAAGCTTTCTATCAAGACCATTAACATTTGGAGACAGCGGCAGTTGGCTCTTGTAGTGTGCCCTTAAACCAGTGGTTCAAGAGATCATACTGTATCCTAATTGCTGAAATCTTGATACAGCTTTGTGTGGTGTGTGCAAGATTGCTGTCTAAGAAACAATGTGCATATATAATGGAATGTACTTCTGTATATTATGCTTCTAACTAATGGTGATGAAAAAATATGAAAAAAATACTTGGAGCCATGACTAGGATTAGCCAGTTCCAAACCACCACTGTCTACATTTCACTCAAAGAAGATGGATGCTGCTTATTATTTACTAAGGGTTTCTGCTAGGAACATGTGATCATTGCAATCAGTGGTGCTGCCAGCAAAGCCTCTGATTAGTTGCCACTGGAAATAGTTCCTGGAAAACAAAAGTGACTGATGTTTTACATTTATGTAAATTATGTTTTTTTTACTTCTCTCTTTCCAACCTGAACCACTACTAATCACCATCACTATTTCACGGAGTGGAAGCATATGAGCCATTAGTTTACAAAAAAGGACTGCTATCCATGAACTATATTGTGTGTTTGTGCATGAATGTGTGTGAATAAATGTATATCTGTATCCAAACACAGAAATGAGGCTAATGCTAGGTTACTATTTACCAGCTGCAAGTAAGAGATTTATTATAATGCCAGTGTGGATTAAGAGAAGCAAAGGCTTAATACTTAAGTAGTCATCTCTAAGAACATTCCTATTTCACGATTCTACAAATCCTTAGCAGTCTTTATGTTATATTTATATAAAAGGAATCCAGAAAATAAATTGGTACATCCCAGTTAAATGTAAAACAACTTATTTAATAAATATGTGTATACCTGTCTACATTTATGTAAATCTGTTTTAGGAAAAAAATCATTTTTTTCCTCAGCTATATTTATAGAAGCATAGCTCAAAATAAAAAAAAATAGTTATATTCAAATCAGCTGACATCAAAATACAAATACTTTTTCAAAAGAACATTGTTACCAAAAACTAAAAGTATTTAAAGCTATTTTAGTTTTTTCTGAATGTAAATTATAGACAATAGGTAAACTGCAATCAAGTTGGCCTGATAGACTCAGTGGAATATAATAGTTTGTTATTCAGTGAGGCTTACATCTGAGTAACCATGTCTAGCATCTCACTTCAAGTTTTAGGATGAGCATCTTTTCATCAATGCAGGTTGTAAAACAAAGGAAAATTCATTTCATTTGTCTTCTGGCTTAGATTGCCTGACCCAATTCTCTGCTTTCACATTTAATTTGTACAAGTACCAGCTGCAAAGTTCTCTAACAGAGCAGTACCATTCTGTTCTATAGCTAGCACTGTTTCTGGTACAATTCCCTCTGCCAAAGTTAGCAAGTGATTGCCTAAGCACAATTTAATTACCTACCTTGAGAATTATATTACCTGAATACCTTAGTACAATTAGTAGTTTGCTTCTTAAAAACAGATCAAATAAATGGAGATTTTAATTGCTTAAATTTAATACATGCCTTTCAAAATAATCCAAAATTACCAAACTATTTCGTTAAAAAAAACTTACATTACTATAGCAATACGCAGTGAATTATAGCCCAAATAAGGGAGCCAGTGTGATATAATGGAGAAGATGATGACCTAGAAATCGAGAGATGGTGAGTTCTAGGTTTCAAGATAAAAATTTAGTAATAATATATTGTATCACTCTCACTGCATCAAAAAGCAGTGAATACAAATAGCACGAACATATAATTCCTTTATATTTTTCAAAAAATGTCCTTTTTTAGCCCACATAGGCCTGCAAGTATGCATCAAGAGACAGATCAAAGCTTGCAATTCTATTAACATTTTAATAGTTTAAACCACAATTTTCTATTATGGCACAGCTGCACCATAAATGTAAAAGGTTTGTGAAGATTGCATTGACTTTCCATCAAAATGTACTTAAATCATAAAGGGAAAGCAAGTCTGTAATTGCTGTGTTCATGTGCTACACTCAGTCTAGTTACTGAATTAAGTCATTTTCTAGGTTCATACAATCTTTTCATTTATTATATTCATCACATTACTATACTGCCCATCTCACCAAAGGGACACTAACCAAGTAATATAGACTAGGCTCAGGTAGTATACTAGACTAGTTGTTCTCACCATGGACCCTCTTTAAATACCTTTTGTTGCCACGGATCAGGGACATAGACCACCAAGGCTTAATTTAATATTTAAATCATAACATTTCTTCAAGCTTTCATGGACCCTGTGACATCGCTGCTCCCAGGGGTCCATGGACCACAGGTTGAGAACAACTACACTAGACCATGATGGCGATAGTGATGATAATAATTTTGTCTGTGAGAGCCGCTTTGGTGTAGTGGTTAAGGCACCAGGCTATAAACTTTAGTCCTGCTTTAGGTGTGAAACCAGTTGGGTGACCTCGGCCAGTCACTCACTCTCAGCCTTAGGAAGAAGGCAATGGCAAGACACTTCTGAAAAACCTTGCCAAGAAAATTGGAAGGGATTAGACCAGGAATTTGGCATTAGACCTGTCAACAGGAATTAAGACTACATAATTATTATTAATGTTATATTCCAGGCCCATGGAGGCCTACCATACTGAAATTATAACTCGTTTCCTGCTTCCCATTTGCTACAGGAAATCATTAGCAGAAAACTAGCAGAAAAAAAGCTGGTTTGTATTTTAGGGAGGAATTAAATCCCCAGCATAGCTTGCAAATTAAAGCATATGTACTGAAAATACAATAAAAATATGTCAACCACATTAAGAGTAAAGAGAAGTCCTGGCAATAAAAATCTGGGGAACATGACTTCAGGACTCTTGAAAATCCAAAGATGATGCCACCCAAGAAGAATTTCACATGTGAAACAGCATTCCACATCACTCCAACTTCTTCTCCTGCATGATTCGTGCTTAGCCAAGTATTGAGCTGGGATGAAATCAAGAGGCATTGTTTCAGGCTGATCATAAATGCATCATTCAAATATGTAAGGTCATCAATTAATTAGTCAATATAGTAATGCTAGTCAATAATATTAATTGAATTACAGAAACAGAATCAACCAAATTTTATTATTCCACGTGGATTAGATATTTAGGAATTACAAAAGACAGACAGCAAAGAAGGAAAAGTAATTATGACTTTTTTTGCCACAGCAGAAAAGAATTTAAGATTATTTTACTTCAGCATAGCATGCTAGAATAACTACAGTTAAAATTCTTTTTCCTAAAATTCTTTTTCCCAAATATTTTCAATTTCTCTGCTTATTTGATTCTGCACATGAGGAAAAAAAATTCTTGGAAGAATTACGTATTGTAAATATGTAACCCTAAAAGAATCAGATCAGGTAAACCATATCATATATGCAAAAGTTATACATACCAAATCCTAAATATCATTTCATCGCTTAATTAATACTATTTGGAATACAAAATATGCTCAACAGATACAAGCTGAGTCAGCCTCCCCAATCTGTCAAGACAATACCATTCCTCCCCAATATTCAGAAAACTATTTAAAATTTGCTCTAGAAATTGGAAAAAAGTAGAAACAACTTCCAGCCCTAACTGCTCCTTTCTTCTCCTATTCTAATAGATTGTGCTGAGGAATAGGTTACTTTTCCCTTTGAAAAAAATGCATCTTTTGGGACATACAAGCTTAATACATAGCAACATTCAGTGCTGCAGAAGGCTCAAATATGGCCCTGTATTCCATTTGAGTGTAAAGTGTGACTACTGATGAATCTCAGGCTTCAGTCACCAGATGGAATAAAATTAGGCTGTTGAAAATGAAAGGCACATTGGATTAACTGTAGATGCTCCCCACCCACTCTTGAAAACAAATTATCCTGATACACATGAAAATCCATTTTTGTAGTCTAACCAAGAAATATGCTTAGCTGGACAGATTCCATGCTATACCCAACTAGGATTTGACCTATATTCAGTTTGAAATATGCTTGGCTCCTGGACAACATATAAACATAAAAACAATACATATAAAAAGAGAGCATGGTGACTAGTTGCATCAAGCTGCAAACCAAATACAAAGGTTATTGAGGACAGCAAATTTTACTAGCTCTTTCAGTGCCATTGTAACTTTGAATGGTCAGTAAGTGAATAGTTGTGCCTGTATTTACATCAGTCTGGAGTACTAAATCTGGACAGGGAGAACTACTAAGAGCTAATATGATGGAGTGATTAGGTTGCTGCACTAACATGAGGGAGATGCTGCTTCAGATCAATCCTTGGCCATGGAAACATACAGCGTGACTTTGGCTGATCAACCCACTCAGCTGTTTTTATTATGGGGAAAAAAGGGGGGGGGTGTGGAGCACTCTGCACAAGCTCTTGAATGAAACACATGATATACATTTAACAAACAAATGATGATATGAGCTGCCTGGTACCCTTTCAAACTGTTTAATTTTCTATTTTTTTTCTTTGTCCCCTCTACTCTACACATTTCTCTTTTCTCCTTTCCCTCCCTTATTTGACTATTATTTTCGCTTTTCCTTGTATTTTTGTTTTATATTTTGATAAATTAATAAAATGTTATTACTAAAAACACTTTTTTAAGCAATGAGAAGCACACTCAACCCCCCCATCCCCCTACTTTCTCCATGGCCCCAAAGTGGAAGTCTTTTACAAATGTTACTGGTTACTAAAAGAGTTTTCTGTTGAATTGGGAATCTTCTGCTATCTTTAAAGATGCACTTACACTGCTAAAGTATCAAGAGGGACCCGGTTATAAGGTCAAAGGCAAGAGGCCAAGGAATCCATGCTAAATGTTGTCCAGGACTTTAGAAAGGCCAGACTGACACACCACAAAAATCCTTTAAAAGCAACTACTTTTGGGTGTCAAAGAAGAGGTACTTTGCAGAATATTACATAGGTAATTAAGGAACAGTCTAAAAATACCGTAAATGCCGGCGTACAAGGCGACCCGGCGTATAAGACGACCCCCGTCTTTATAGCTGGGCCGCATTCCTAGAACGTCGTCTTATACGCCGGAAACTACCAGTATTTCTGGCGTATAAGACGACTCGGCGTATAAGACGACCCCCGTCTTTGGCGCCGATTTCAGCGCTTGCGGAAGTCGCCTTATACACCGGCATTTACGGTATTCAAGACTTCATTTGGGCAGAAGAGGAAAAGGCATTTATATGGAGCAAGGCGCTATCAGAAAGAAATATGAGCAGAAGTATGTATTGTCACCTCTAACTCTCTGCAGCTAAGTGTTCGGTCTCTTAAGGATGACATTCAGAGAATGTCCATGAAGTAGTAAGAGGAAATTCTCAAATTGGCTCTTGGAGGATCACGTGCTTCCAGAGCCTATTTCATATTCAAAACGTCAAAGACTTCCTCAAATAGATATCCAAGGTACAGTAATATAATAGTGAAGAATTTGGGACTATCAGTAGGAAATGTCTTAACCAAGAGTAAGACTGACAATGTCCTGATTCTAGTTGCTTCTCGTAACTCAGCTGAAATGGAAGGCTTCAAAGGTTTCTCCCCCCCCCCTCGCCCCCAAATAACCATGCATTTCATCTTATCATTTCTTCTCAAAGCTAAATGTATTTATTTAATTAAAAATTCTTAAAAACATACATTTTATAGAATCACCATTAGCCGTCTGCAATAAACAGATTTCCAATTTAAGGACATTTCTTCTCAAATGGTTTAGGAAGCTGAAAATTATAATGAATTGAAACATTTAAATATAGTTGCACCAAATAAGATTATGTTAGTAACTGACATAAATACTATACTGAAATCCAGTATCATGTTTAAATGGTTAAATTTTTTTGTACTGTTCATATATGTACATTTAAAAAAGCTTTAAATACAAGGACAGCAATTTCAACCCTGAAGAAAGACAAGGAAATGAGTTTTGCTCCATGCCACAAGAGTACACATTTGACTGGCTCCAGAACATCCTTTCTACAAATAGCAGGACACTTTCTGTTCATATATGAGACGAAGATCCAGCAGAATCCTCCCTAGAGGGAAAAGAAATTAAATTTTACCAATTCATCATTGCTAACCCCTAGGTCATTTCCCACACTGTTTTGGAAAATCGTTAGAATCTAATGGGAAAAGAAGGAATGGACAAACATTACCTCTTTAAAAGGCAGTCTTGAACTCACAAGAATTTTTGGATATAGCCTATGATTTGTCTCACTATTAAACAATCCATTTTCTACATATGTGGTAAACAAGGTAGCTGTAGGGGAAGAGTTTTTGCTTTAACTGCCCTCTCACTTACTTTCATGCTCCAACATCTGAAGTGGCTGCTTGGTATCTGTAGCAATACAGTTTGTTGTCTGCTCCACCACTTAGCAACAACTGTAACACAGAGGGGGAGAAGACCAAATTATAAGAAGACACTATTACAAACTAATTGTTTTTCCAATCAAAAGGGATAAAAATGCAAAGTAACTAAGTCCCTGAAAACTGTATTATTTAAATAATAAAAAAAAAACACCATGACTTTTGTTTCTCAATAATTTCCAAATAGCAGGAAAATATTCTCCTAACAGCATTATCCCCAATATGGAAAAAACAGGAAAAAAAACTTCTCATGTTTGATCACTATTATCATCAGAGTATGATGTGGAAAATAAACAGTAACATGATTCAAAATGTAGTGTATCCCTGGGAAGTCTCTATTCCTGTATTTGAAAAGGAAGCATTTTTATATGCAATAATATTTATAATTGCTTGGCCATGTTCTGTTTCTTGTTCATGCAACTCCAGCTCAATTTTGTATCATGATGTTGGCTAGATTAACCATGCTTTAACAAAATGCATCAATATAATTTAATAAAAATAATTAACACAACATAGGAACCACTCAACTCCAAATTAACTCTGGGAGATGTACAATAAAATAGAAAGTGAAATATAATCATTATAAAATAAATAAATATTAAATAAATAAACAAGAACCAATAGTGAGTCTACTAACAGGAGCCCCCAATACCCTAACCAAGGCCTGGAAGAATAGCCAGGTGTTTAAGGCTTTCCAGATGCCATCAAAATGGCAGCCACACTGACAGCAGGAGGAATTTCACTGCAGATAAAGCACATTTCCTGGTTCGCAGGAGATGACATTGTTTAATTGAAGGGCCTCAGCGTGCCAACTCTTTTATATGGAACCAGCTAGGCTGATACCATGGTAGATAGGCCAGGTAAGGCTTTATAGGACATAACCAGCACCTTGAATTGGATGCCAATTGGAAATATGCCAATAACCAGTGCAACTGATAAATCAATGATCCAGGTGTACATGAAGGCATACCTAGCAGAATCCACACCTTTGCATTCTGGATCAGCTGGAACTTCTAGGTATCTTGTGGAGAGAACACTGCAATCTAGGAATCAAGCCATGATGGTTTATTTAGCAAATCTTGTTTAAAAAATCACTTGTGTCATACTCACTTCACATAAGGAGTGACTGTTTAACAAGACTTGCTAAGTAAACCATCAGGGCTTCACTCCTAAATGTTTAAACCATAAACAGAAGAGCAGTTTTAGTAAGGAAATAGTAGTAACTGTGAGAGGGATCTCGGAGTCCTAGTGGACAATCACTTAAATAGGAGCCAGCAGTGCGCTACAGCTGCCAAAAAAGCCAACACAATGCTGGGCTGCATTAACAGAGGGATAGAATCAAGATCACGTGAAATATTAATACCACTTTACAATGCCTTGGTAAGGCCACACTTGGAATACTGCATCCAGTTTTGGGCACCATGATGTAAAAAATATGTTGAGTACAGAAAGAGTACAGAAAAGAGCAACAAAGATGATTAGGGGACTGGAGGCTAAAACATATGAGGAACGGTTGCTGGAATTGGGTATGTCTAGTTTAATGAAGAGAAGGACAAGGGAGGACATGATAGCAGTGTTTCAATATCTCAGGGGTTGCCACAAAGAAGAGGGAGTCAAGATATTTTCCAAAGTGCCTGAAGGCAGGACAAGAAGCAACGGATGGAAACTAATCAAGGAGAGAAGCAACCTAGAACTAAGGAGAAACTTCCTGACAGAACAATTAACCAGTGGAACAACCTGCCTCCAGAAGCAGTGAATGCTTCAACACTGGAAATTTTCAAGAAGAGATTGGACAGCCAAAATAAGGTTTAGCTTATTTTGTTAGAGTGGGCGGTGAAGGGGCTGCAACTGCTTGGGAATTTTGCAAAGAGATATTTTTACACAATTGGTTGAATCACAGTGCAAACAAAACAAAACAAAACCTGGATGCAAGAATGAGAAGGAAGGAAATAAATAATTTGGATCTGCTGAAACACAGTTCCAGTTTACCATCTTTTTCTTCAGCCAGTTTTTATTATTAACATAGCTTCCCTTGGTTCAATTGTTTTGGTTTTGAAGAAAAATGAATTCTAAATATTTAGAATAAAGCTGGGATGAGATTGAAGAAGAGGACAGGGCCCTTGAGACTGCAAGCTCAACCATTTGTTTATGATACCCATGTCCCTCCAGGCTTGTCAAGGCTGCTAGGAAGGTGCTATGTGATTGGATCCATGCAGCAGTGTCAGTCTCTTTGAGGGAAGAAGTGTTTCTGTTGCCTTGAAGGAAGCACAGTGCACCTCCTCCTAAAAAAGCTACTGCTGGATCCAACAGTGTGGAAAATTTCTATCCTGTTTTCAATTCTCCTTTTTAAGAAGTGGCTGGGCTATAGCTCCAGATGGCCCTTTTGGAAACAACTTATCCAAAGTTGGGATGGAGCGGTGCTGCCATCCTCATTCTCCCAGATCTCTCAGTGGCTTTCAGTTGATCATGGTGTTCTTCTGGACCATCTGTAAGGATTAGGAGGGGGTAGCATGGTGTGGCAGTGCTTCTCTCCCTTTCTCTGTGGGCAGTACTGTTCTAATCAACGGGGTGGGAGGGGTTGAGACTGAAGCCCCTACTTGTGGGGTGTTTCAAGCCTTCACACTTTTACCCCTTCTGTTTAATATTAGCTACATGAGGCTGTGTGTGAGTCATCTATTGATTTGGGGTTGACAATAATGCTGTCAAAATCTTGTGCAAATGTCTAATAGATGTCAGGATTTGAATGGAGAGAAACAGACTCAGGCTCAACCATAACAAGACTAAGTGGCTTCAGTATTTGAGCCCCCAATCCCAGAAATTTTCTGGATGGGCCTTGTAGGCAATCTGAGTTTTTCTAGGCCAGGGATATCAAACTGCCAGCCCGTGGCCGGATGAGTCACGAGGAAACCGCGCCCACTCCATTGCCGGCAATAGGGGAAAAGCTCTGATATGTCGCGCAATATCACATGATATTGCGAGTTTGACATGTCTGTTCTAGACTCACAATTTCTGCTCAAAGAACAGATGACCGCTGTGACCAAGGAGGTCTTTGCACTGGTCATTCACACTCCAATCACCACACAGGATGATTACTGCAATGTGCTGTAGACAGAGCTGTCCTGGGAAACCACCTGGAAGCTGCAGAATGCAGGGATATGGGCAATGATGGGCATGCTGTGATATGTAACATTGCTGCTCCACTACTGACCACTTATTTGACTTTCAGATACCAGCTCCTTTATGACCACAATTGAGTCCAACATTTCTGTTGCTAAGTGAGGTTTGCCCCATTTTACAATCTTTCTCATCATAGTTGTTGAATCATTGCAGCTGTTAAGTTAGTCACACGGTTGTTCAATGTATCTGGTTCCCCATTCACTTTGCTTGTCAGGAGGTCGCAGAAGGTGACCACGTGACCCCAAGGCACTGCAACTGTCATACATACGAGTCAGTTGCCAAGCATTTGAATTTTGATCATGTGACTACAGGGATGCTACAACGGTCATAAGTGTGTGAAAAACGGTCATAAGTCACTTTTTTCAATGCCGTTGTTAACTTCAAACCATCACTGCATGAACTGTTGTAAGTCGAGGAGTACCTGTACAGATTTTTGTGGTACCATTGTAATCTTTCATAAAATTACTATTTAAAAAAGGCCTCCATGGCACAGGATCTTGCTATTTGAGGATCTACCGATCTCTGACCCATCCTGTACAATCATATAAAGTGAGTATGTTCTGTATCCCAACGATCAAACACAGTCATTTGATGGGAGTTGGCCTTCTCTATCATGGTAACTGCCTCTCATTTTTATAGAAGATTCCTGGGGCAAATGTGCTTAGATATCTTAGCCCTTTGAGGTAATCCTGGAGAAATTAAGGAGTTGTTTCATTCTAAAACAATGCTAGTTTGGAAGCATTAAGGAAAAAAAAAAGGCATTCCTTAAGTCTCTTGAAGACTTAAATCCTCAACTACCAACTCCTAACAGATTGCAATGTCTGATCCAGCCATCTTAGAGGGATGTTATTTGACTACACCCTTGCTTTAAAAACAAGGGCAATTTTAGCCCTAAGAAAACCGACTCTGCCCTATACTGTCTGGGCTATTTCCCCCTTTTTTGGCATTTATACATTTGCATTTGCATGCATTCGTATGAGATTCATGTGAGTTTACTTATGCAATACTAACTTCTGTAGCTTTTAACATTAACAATAATTTCAATTAATTTTAAGTGTCCTGTTGTGAGTTTGGATAGTGGCTATAATTCTTTCTACTGAGAAGTAAGAAGCACCTATTTCCATAATTAAAGATTTGCAGTGCCCACATCTGATTCCTGCGTGTCTCATACCTGTTCTGTCACCTGTCTCTCTACACACCCAAGTTTGCATATTCACACAAACAGAGGATACTGACAAGAGTCCTGGAATATTTTATGTGATGCAGAGTTAAACATTAGTTCTGTACTCAGTTTTCATCCGATTCTATACTTTCTTGAAATATCAATTCTTACCCCAGCTTCGGTCCACTCCACACAGAAAACTTTGTCTTCATGAGCCGCCAAGTCATAAAGAGGAGCTTTGCAACTGATGAGATATAGATTATTAAAGCCAGTTTTAGTGTTGTGTTGTTAGTGTTATGTTGTGTTGTTACCTCAATGATATGACTCTGATAGTTCTTTGCTAAAACAAATAAAGTTCCCTCTCAATCCATTTTATCTCCAACTCCTCTTTCTCTAGTTTCTTTTTCTTTAAATCTAAATCTACCAGGACACACATATTGTCCACCCATCTGAGATGAAACAAAAATATTACTTAAGTTGATCTTGACTCCTGGCAATGTCCATATAGAAATGCTATTTTCTTTGCTATGATTTTTTTTTTCAATTTCCGAATGTACCATGTAGCTTTTTCAAGATCAGGCATGGTATGATAGCCTTGCAAGTCCTTTAGTACTAAATTCAGACTAAAAAAACATGTTGGGCTCTATTCACAAGTTAAAGTGATAATATCACTTAATTTATTTAATTTATATGCTGCCCATCTCACAGTCACGGGACTCTGAGCGTCTTACAATGTCATGTATTGCACATGCATTCTGGTAGAGAATTTGGAGGCACATTTTGCAAAATTCACTTGCATGTTCAGATCTAGTGGCTCACCAAGAGTATCCTTGAAGTAAGATTTATTAACCAATGAGTATATTTTAAAGTAAGAACTTGCAAACCCTTAAAACTGCAGTTCTTCATTTTGTGTGTCATATAGTAATCTGAAATCATATATAAAATGCAACCAACGAGAACTTCAGATTTCAGCTTACCTCCTTGTATCCCAGAGTTTGACAATGTTATCTAAAGAACCAGAGATAAGTTGCTGCTCTTGAGTAGGAGACCATTTTACTGAAGTCACCCAGCCAGTATGTGAGGTGAGAGAAAGTAACACCAAAGAGCCATCTGAAACAAGACAGATTCAATAGCCACAAAGTACAATATACTATAGTTATTGAAAAGAAGCCGAGATAAATTCATACTTGATACAAAAGCTCGTAATGGTCTTCTTGGAAAAAAAAAAACCAGCCAGAAATACAAAAAGATTATTCCTTTGTAGGGTTCCAATTTTAGTTTGCTAAGGTAGAAGTTGATAGGCAATTTGTGGTAGTGATGCCAGACTATGGATGCCATCTCAGCTAGATAGAGAATGATAAAGGAATAATCCTATCACAGTCTTACCTGTGCTATTTGTGACCACCATTCCAGAGCTCAGCCACTCATGAGCTGAATAACTTCCTTTAAAATGTAAACTGGATTGTTAAAATAAAGTGTCATGATACTGATACAACTATAGAAATCGGACACCTATTGGCCATGAGCAGTGGCCAAATATGTGAACCACCTGTTCACTGTGTGGATGCCACTTCCGGAAGTCCATTCTGGGCCTGGGCAACAAAAAATTAGCTACCGGTTCTGCCAAAGTGGTGTGAACTGGCTGAATCCCATAAGGAGAGATAGGGGAAGCTGCCATATCAATTTCATTGACATGGTATGACTAGTAGAAATGTTGCAGAGAATAAGGGAGAGATCTTTCCCATCATCCCAACCCTAACCCTGACTCTTTGATCTAGAGATGCTAAGATCTTTTGCAAGTAAAGTATGTCCTCTATCACTGTGTTTGCAAGAAGTGAAAGAGAAGGCGAGACGTGGCCATTACTTTTCTGCCACATCAAGAATGCCACGTTATTATTCAAAGAATAATAACCAATTTAGGCAGGCATTACAGAGGTTTCTCAATTCCACAGTTGACATGTGAGTAACCACTCCTGGTTAGAAAGCCTTATTAGAAAGCACATTCCAAAGTACATGAACTCTGTACAATGCTACGTCAATTAGTCAACTAAGTAAATGAGTGATCTTAAACTTTAATAATCAAGGCACTGAAAAAATTCTTACACACACACACACACACACACACACACTCACTCACTTCTACTCACCTTTGCTCCGAGGATCCCATAACCGAATGTGTCTGTCAGTGCTTCCAGAGGCTATACGCCGACAAAGTGGTGAGTAGGCTATTGAATTAAACACTTTGTTTCCTGTCTATGATATAATAAAAAGTGTAGTAAGTAGCATTTTATACCTACTTTTGGAAAAATATAAATAAAACCAATTTAAATGCAGAAAACTCATGTTAAAATGGCATTTACCAAAGTGGATTTAAAGCTTCCAGTTTCAACATCCCAAATTTTAATTGTGTGGTCCCATGAAGCACTGCAGATTTCATCTGTATCTGACCAAAGTACTGAAGACACGGATTCAGTATGACCAGAGAGGGTTGCAACAGGAGTCTAGACATGAGGAATAAAGACCAATAAAAAAATGGCTAACACTGGGTTTTTTAAAAATAGAAAAATTTAATTATCAATTAAAAACTAAATTGGGGAAATAAACCAGTAGAAGACAATATACATTGCTTACTGGTGTACACTGCTTAGAGAGTGCTTGCACTTAAAGCGGTATATAAGTCTCATAAATAAATAAATAAATAAATTGCAATCCAGTTGCATAATGTTGCCAAGTAACATGGAATTTTCCATGTAGTTACTAAGAGCTTGAGAGAGATGTTACTTTAGAAAGCATTAGCAGGACCTACTGGTATATGGGCAGATGAGTAGAACCTAGGCATGTCTTAGTCATAGTTACATTCCTTGAGAGTTCAGTTATTTAAGTGAATTGTGAATAAAGCATACCATGTGAAACATGGGGGGGGGGGATCACTATCAGTCATCAACCCTGGCAGCTGCCCACATGAATCAAGCCAAGCCTGACTCCACTCATTCTTCTTACTCTTGTTAGTCCCAACTGCTCGGTTTTTTGCTTTTTCCTTGGTCTGTTTACTACTTCCTCCATCTCTGCTTCATCTTCTTCATCGGCAGGCACTGAAATGAAAATGAGATAAGATTTAAAAAAAAGGAAGGACAATAATCACACACTCATAATCTCAAATAAACACAAATAGCCTAAATTAGCTATAAGTTATTTTTTACCTCTTGGGTTTCAACACATTTTCAAAGCTCATTGAAGGAAATGGAAGAAGAGAAATAATCTGGATCTTTTCTTAGATGTTATTAAGCAGGCACTCTGTCTGTGTCTATTATCTACCTACCTACCTTCTATCTATTAGCATTTTCTTAAGCATTGTTCTCAATTTTATGGAATGTGCAGGATAATTCAATCCAGCCTCTTGAGAAAGACCAACCTATTTTACCCAGAAATGTTCTATCTCTGATGTCTTGAGTCTAGCCAGTTAATCAAAAAATTATTTAGTCATGAAATCCACCTTGCTAACAACCCTTGTGGAATGAAAAAGTCTAGTCTTCATTTCTTTATTGTATAAGTGAGATGAACATATGAAGAACGGCTGCAGGACTTGGGTTTGGCTAGTCTAAAGAAAAGAAGAAACGGGGGCAACATGATAGCAGTATTCCAGTATTTGAGGGGCTGCCACAAAGAAGAGGGGGTCAAACTATTTTCCAAAGCACCAGAGGGCAAGACAAGAAACAATGGTTGGAAACTGGCCAGAGAAGCAACTTGGAATTAAGAAGAAACTTCCTAACAGTCAGGACAATTAACCAGTGAACAGCTTGCCTTCAGAAATTGTGGGCGCGCCATCACTGGAGAATTTCAAGAAGAAACTAGACAATCACTTGTCTGAAATGGTATAGGTTCTCCTGCTAGAGCAGGGGGCTGGACTAGAAGACCTCCATGGTCCCTTCCAGCTCTATTCTATTCTATAAGGGGATGGAACTAAATTCTGGAACTGAATTCCACTTATTCAGGCTTCTCACCATGAAATTAGCTTATCATATGCTTTACAAGATGTACCATTTTATATATGACTGCTTCATACACTGCAACTATAGAGTCAAAAGTAGTACCATGTGGGTAGGAATCTACAATTTTGCACTAAAATGCTACATTTAGAATTGTATGACAATAAACACAGCATCTTTGCACCACGGAAGTACATTCACAATTGTTAGGAAGATACATGTGTTGGAGGGGTGTGCTATGGGCAAAAAATAATGCTTATGTCTAAAATATTTCTCTTACCTGCAGACCATATCTTCAGCATTTTATCCCAGGAGCCACTGCAAAACTAATAAAAAGCACAAAATTTGAATAAAATGGTAAATATCTGATTTGATCTGATTCCAGCCTAAATTAATATCCTTGTGTTCAAGCCAGATTTGCACTGAATCCTGGGAAGTTCCTCATCATCTGCTCTCCCCACATGTCCAGCCTGCCCTGGGGTAGAGTTGCTGCTGCAGCAGAGAAGCTGATGCTTCAATTACTTCGAGATATTGTCCATCAGTGGCAGAAAAATATTCCCAGTGATTCCAACGACACTGAATTTGTACAGAGGCCTCCAGGGTCTTCTTGGCCTTAAAATGTAAAATCTCTGTTGCCATAATGTTCCCCAACACTGTTGCCCCCATTATTTCACTAATCCAACTCCACCTCAGATTAAGAGACATTAGTATCATCAACAAATAATAATGCAATTCATACATGGTATGACAGAAATGCCTAGAAATTCAAGGATGAAAGAAAGGGAGGAGAGAAAGCCAGCATATGTCATTTGTTAGATATATATCTCTCCTTTCCCCTACCTGAACCTACACTCTCCAGTCCGAATCCATTGGCTTTTGCAAACTCTAAACATCTGTATTTCATCAAAACTTTGGAAGGAAATGCATTTAAAGCCCTTGGCAGTTAAAACTGATGTTATTTAAAAACACCATCCTTAGGAGTACTTGGGAAAAGGTCAATTAGAGGGCCAATGCCAGCCATCATCTTACCTGTGATGGAATGTTACCTAGATTCCTGGGGGGGGGGTAGGAGTACATTCCAGAAGAGCAAGAGACAATGCAGTTTAGATAGTTTGTGTGAGAGAAAGAAGGTGCAGATGAGTCCTCCCTAATAATTTCCAGGGTATATGATTTAGGGTGCAAGTAGTCTGCTTTAGTTTGGCAAGTGTCTATAAGTGAGGAACAATAAAGAAATCTGCTCACAAGAATCAAAATGTGTCTTTCTTAATTTTCAGAGCCTTACAAGACCATGTTGTAAGGTTTTGATCTGAATGTTCAAAAGAACTGCAGTAGTGTTTATAGTACAGCACACTTGTCTACTTTTTAGAATTTGACAGCAGAGGAGGAAGGCACATAACTTACTTTGGTCCTTGAACTATCCACTGCTACAGATTCCACACTTCCTGCATGTCCCCTGCAGCAATGAAGAGCCCTCACTTTGTTCCTTTCCACGTTCCATTCCCAGAGGAGGATAGTCTGGTCCATAGAGGCAGTGAGTAGCAAGCATGACAAGCTGTCTGAAGAATATAGGCAAGGATACACTGAGCAGCATTTCCTAAAACCAATCATCCAATTTCATTCTACCCCAGAATCTGGTAATGGGATAAAAAAAGCAAAACTCTACAGCAAAACCATAATTAGATTTAGGGTATTTAAAATGAGACGCTCCACTATACCTAAAGGAATACATACATTTTAAGGAATATGAAGATCAGTGGTAATCCATAAGTATTGATTACTATTGTATGAACCAATAATCTTATGTAAGTAGGATCTGTCTGAATACATGGGATTCTGAGAATTATTTAACCCGCCTCTTAGGCCAGTGATGACGAACCTTTTAGAGACTGAATGCCCAAACTGCAACCCAAAACCCACTTATGCATCGTCGAGTGCAGGGTGGGTGTGGCCTATTGGGTGGGCGTGGCCCATTGGGTAGGCGTGGCTGTGGTGATAACGGCAGACTAGGTGGGACTAAAAGTTCAATCAATTCCAACTTTGCAAGATCTTTTTTTTCCCCCGTGAGAAGTTGAAATTGACTGATTGAACCTTTTTTTTTTGTACATGGCGGCGGAGGCCTAAAGCGAAAAGGTTTTATAAAACCCAGCTGAAGGCCTAGGACTGGGGCGACGGCGCGCGTGCCCAGAGAGGACTCTGAGTGCCGCCTCTGGCACCCGTGCCATAGGTTTGCCACCACTGTCTTAGGCCATACAGCTCCTCTCAGCTCCTGAAGGACAACCTCTTGCACAGTGATTGCCTATGTTTCTAAAGGTGAAATCTAGATGTTGCTTTAAAATCCGAAGACACCAAGTTGTTTTTTGTTTCATTTTTCAATAAACTTACGGAATTTAGCTACTATATTCCTTGCTGAAATGCCAACATGGATCAATGTTATGTAAACATATACTACTAAGAAGACAATACTTTCTGGTGCTGTAAATTAGAGACATAGCTACATTGCCATTATCCACAGCTACATCAGAAACACAGCTGAAGGATAAAAACCAGTCAAACATCCTCTTTTATATTAAGGCTGGGTCATAACTGGGTCTCTTTCACTAAATCTAGAGTAAAAATTAAGCCACATTTTTATGCATTTTAAAATAACACGTAGCTCAGCCTTAAATAACATAAAACGCTCCCCCCACTTTCCCCAGTTTCATTATCTTTCAAAACATGAGAGGCCAGGAAAAAGGCCATGGCTTCAGGTAAACAGAAGTCTGAAGCCTCTTGCACTATTGTTCCTGCATGTAAACAACACCAGGACAAAAATAACACAGCCCATTCAAATCCGTGAAAGATTGGAATGCTGCAGATCTTTTTTTCCAAAAAATCTTAACAAATGTGAAAGAAAGAATTTTAAAGAAAATTGAAGGTTTAACAACTGTTAAAGAGACAGCCATCATTTAGTGGAAAACAAAACAGCAACAAAAAAACCCAGAGCTGATTACAATAAAAGTCTATCACAAGGTTTTGAAGGAAATCTATTTTGCCCCTTTTTACTTACCTTTTTTAACCCAAGCTACATCTTTTACCACATCTACATGCCCAGCAAGTGTCATGATAGGTTTGCCTTCTACTGACCAAATCCGGGAAGTCTGATCATAGGAACCAGTCAAGATCCTATGGAAGTCAGAAGTAAAGAACATTTTTGAAGGTGTGCACAGCTCTTTATCAGTTTCTCCTCTAAAAATTTCAAAGATACCTGTCATGGTTCCATTAGATGAAACCAGTAAAAGAACTTCAAGGCAAGAATTCTTCCTTAAACAACATTTTATTAGGAAACAAAGTATCGGCACTTACATAGTTGAACCCAAAACAGAGATTCCCTCCCCCCAGATACAAAGTAACAAGTTGCAATTCCCATCCCACAAATGCTGTCATAAATCACATTCCCCAGTTAACGCAAGATTCTCACTGGGCTGCCCACCAAACCCTTATCAGACCATGTCCTTGAGTTCCCACACTTCTAAGTTGTTATGATAGCTAAACCCTCAAGCATTCATCTCATTGCCCCCCTCTTCTACATCTGAACTCTAAAGAATGGGAAAGAAGCAAAAGTAAAAATGGCTGCTGATTCTCAGTTGTCAGAGTAATGATATCTATTGTCACAGCGTTGACAATACCTACTGAACAGAACTTTCAGATTGTATGCAAAACCATGTTTTGTAAATGTAATGCCAAGATGTGACTGGTAATGAGTTATAAATACTGTGCATAGTTCAAAGCAGCTGACATTCTCCCATTTTTTTCTAGAAAAATATAGCTATTCCCCAATAATTCTTATTGTCCATGTAGCCATATAGCAACCATTACAGTTTACTATTTGAATGTCATGTCAAGGTGTTTACGAGGTTCAAACTCCATCTGCATTGTTTAGAAATTCCATATTTGTGATTTGTACCAAAAACAATTTAAGTGAGGCCAGAACTTGGCTATTACAAATCTGAAAATACGAATTCCACCCCATACCCATTCATTCTCCCGTTAATTTACAAAGAAAAAAATCATGGCAAAAAAAGTAATCATGTTTTATTTTGCCAATCATTCTGTGAGAAAAAGAGCCACTAATATAACATGCATGCTTAATGTACCCACTTAGTTTAAAGCAACAGTATAATCACTTTTGGCATTTGTCTGAAAAGAATGGAAGGAGCTTATTATAATTTAATTTGCACCCTTATTTTTGAGGCCTCAGCGTTTTCTACGATAGCAGCTGTATATCTGGAAAGAGTGTTTTAACCTTATTGGTGATGCCATTTAATTTCACTGCTTCATATTTTTTTTCTTTTAACGACCTGCATCAGAGTAGAGTTGGGGCAACTAAATGGAGTTCAAGCGTATACTAGTCAGATGCCCTTCCTGATGCCAATTACTCAGTATGCCCAGAGAGAAATATCTGCTGCTATCTAGGATCAAACTCACCACCTCCTGACTGTGAGACGAGAGCTCTACCTCTAGGCCACCATGCTGCTCAATTTCACTGCTTTATATATTTATGACAAATGAATCAATAGAAGGAGTATTTATTTATTTTCTTATTTTGCCTGGCTATATTAGTATAGGATAAACCCGCTTTGAATGCATCATTTACCTAAAACCTCGATGTAGAGAAGGAAGATGGATTATAAGAATTTCTGAAAGAAGCAACAGTGCCTCAGAGAAATTAGTCTTAAAACTGATTTAAAAACTTTTGGCAAAGGACAATGACCGTCCTAATACAGCTGATAAAAATTGAATAGTTTTGGATGAGCATCTCATTTCTGAACTACTGATGCACAGAAGAGAGAAAGGGGCAAGGAAAGATGGATAAACTTCTAGAAGAGTAAAGCACAAGAACCTATTTAAAAGCAAACTTAGTGCAGTAAGCTGTACCAGAAATCAAAAAGAGCCAAAAGCAAATTTAAAAATCCCTTGCCATTCTTCTGTAGCTTCAATAGAACTGATCCAGTCATCATGTAGCATGCACTCTTCAGGCTGGGGTGCAGTATACTTTTCTACATATTCAATTTCTACTACATCTTCCTGTATGTGGAAGAAAGAAAGAAACATTAACTACTGTACTATAAAACAAAATCCAGGAAATAAGCCTACAATCCCACATGCTAGGAATGGAAAACATGTTACTATATTACATAAACCCCATCAATCCTAGTCAGCACTGCCAGGAATGCTGGGAGTTTTTATCATCATCATCATCTAGAAAATGACAAGTTCCCCAGCCTTGCTACTGTCCCTTGCCGTGGTTCAATGGAATCAAGGGACTATACTTCCAAATCAACATACCACTTGCCCATCCACTCATCCATTGCATTTGCACTCTAGAACTGTCCATTCCATGGTGGAAATTACTGAGTTAGAGTCAGAATAGTAGTATAAAGTTTCTATTGGTCAAAAGTACAATTAAATGTATAACCTAAAAAAAGTAACTTCTTACAATCATTCACTTTTCATTAAAATGTTTTTGAGTTTGGGAAAAGTTGAACAAATGTTTGTATCCAGTTTTGACTTCCATCAGCATAACAGGAACAAGGAAATAGATCTGATTTTTTTTTTCTTCCTTCCAAAAATGCTCCAGATAGTTGGGGGACACTTTGTATAGGTCTGGGTGGTGCGGAGTATGGACAGATAGGAACTCTGCTGCTGGGCATGTTCAATCTATTCATGTGAGACTAAATCTTACACTTTCAAAATAAAATACACACAATATTTTCTTAAAAATAGTAATAGGCACTGGAACAGTAGCCGGTTACTATTGTTAAGTAAGAACCTCACTTTAGACTTCTTGTCGGCTTTCCCGTTGACTTTGCTTGTGGAAAACCAGCAGGGAAGTTTGCAAGCCAAAATCACATGACCATGGAATGCTCTGAAATCTGGGCTGGTTGCCTAGTGGCTGGAACACAATCACAATTGCGGGGATACTGTGGACAATTGGAACTTTGGGGACCAATCGTAAGTGCCACTAATTCAACACCATCACAACCTTAAGTGGTCACTGAATGAGATGTCAATAATTGAGGACCACCTGTAGTATATTAGTCTTATGTCTGTATGCTTGCAAGTCTGATAGTTTAAGTCATCATTAGAAAAGGCATCAAATCATATTAGAAGTGGCTACCAATGTACCTATCCATGTAAGTGAATACTGGTTGGTACTATGTATCTCAAAACCCAAAATGCACGAAGCAGAGATTAAACATAAATAGGTAGCATACCCATTAAAGTCTTCTGCATAGCTGCCAGGAAGAAAATTGCACTGCATTTTTAAAAATACATTTCTGAGAAATGTTAAAAAAATCATAACATTCACCTCTTTCCTCAAAAAACATTAAAATGGCTTACTGTTGAAATATTTTCCATTTCCATGTGTTTGACAAGAGACATACGCAAGAACTGTCCTTTGACAAGGAAGTCAAATTCCACATATTTGTGATCGTCTAGAAACAAATCAAAGGATCAAGTTACAACTTACATTAAGAGCAGATTTGGAAAATGTATGGTCTCTAAGATATAGTTTTTCTTTCATTGTTCTTGAATTTTTTAAAAAAGTTTATTCTCCAGATCACTAGTAAATATTACCAATACATATAAAATGGAATGCAGCATCTTAGTTGTTTTGCTAGATTCCTTTACAAAATATATTACTTGCTCTGGATTTCTTTGTAAAAACAATCATGAGAACAAAACTGAGTTGCTATTGCAGACAATCTGGCTTCATTCCAAAACTGCCAAGATAAAAAATTGTCTGTGTAAAGAAGCATCCGGGAAAGGAAGATTTTTTAAAAAAAGTTTGCTCTCTTTACAAGTAAATGAACATTCAACCGTAGGTTGTTGTTGTTGTTGTTAATTGCGAAGTCGTGTCCGACCCATCGCGACCCCATGGACAACGTTCCTCCAGGTCTTCCTGTCCTCTACCATCTTCTGGAGTCCATTTAAGTTCACACCTACTGCTTCAGTGACTCCATCCAGCCATCTCATTCTCTGTCGTCCCCTTCTTCTATTGACCTCAATCTTTCCCAGCATTAGGCCCTTCTCCAGTGAATCCTTCCTTCTCATTAGGTGGCCAAAGTATTTGAGTTTCAACTTCAGGATCTGGCCTTCTAAAGAGCAGTCGGGGTTGATCTCTTCTAGGACTGACCGGTTTGAACGCCTTGCAGTCCAAGGGACTCGCAGGAGTCTTCTCCAGCACCATAGTTCAAAGGCCTCAATTCTTTGGCGCTCAGCCTTTCTTATGGTCCAACTTTCACAGCCATACATTGCAACTGGGAAAACCATGGCCTGGACTATACGCACTTTTGTTGGCAGGGTGATGTCTCTGCTTTTTAGTATGCTGTCTAGATTTGCCATAGCTTTCCTCCCCAGGAGCAAGCGTCATTTAATTTCTTGGCTGCAGTCCCCATCTGAGGTGATCTTGGAGCCCAGAAAAATAAAATCTGTCACTACCTCCATTTCTTCCCCATCTATTTGCCAGGAATTGAGAGGGCCGGATGCCATGATTTTAATTAAGCCTATATTCTGCTCTGGGAAGCTCAGGGGGGGGGGAGGGAGGGGGTGATTTGGGAGGGGTTGGGGGAGGGTTGTATTGTTTTTTTGTTTGTTTGTTTGTTTTTTGTCTTATTGTAGTTGTCATTGTTTTTTTTCTGTCTTTGTAAAAGTTTTTAAAAAATTTTCAATAAAAAAAAATAATATTGAATCTGAAAAATATATAGTAAAGCAATTAGTTATCAAAATAAGTCAAGTCTGCATAATTATAAATACAAAATAAATGTGATTAGTTGTATGTTTTTGATATCTGATTTTACAATACCCCAGAGGGTTAGAATCAATATTAATGGAATCACATCTCAAATATAAACATACCATTTTTAGCTTCCAACAATTTGTTGATAATGTTACTGAGGTCAGCAACTTCAGAGGTAGCTTGGATAGAAAAAGGAACATCATCTACCATATATCTATAGAAAGAAAAGAATCACATATTTTAACAAAACATGGCATCTCAGACCTTCAGCTCTCTCAGGGAAAAATATGGCCAATAATTTGGGTTTTCAAGACTTCTGCTCAGACAGGAAGCAAATGGGGAGAACAGACATTTTTTATAAGAATTCCACAGGAGGAAAAAGTAAGTACTGTATTTTCCGGCGTATAAGACGACTTTCTAAATCATGCAAATCTTCTCCAAAGTCAGGGGTCGTCTTATATGCCCAGTCGTCTTATACGCCGGAAAATACGGTAACTTCAAAGTCTTGTATTCTGCACGATGGTGGGCTTAGCTGTGAGCAATGAAAACAAGTGTTCTCCTGAATGGCTTCTGTTTAGAAGATCTACTGAGATATGCTCATTGCCAGTGTGGGTGACTGACCAACTACTTCCTACAGAGTAACCGGCAACTCTTAAGAGGAATATAATATAGCCTGGTTCCAAGAAGAGCAGACTCCAGAATGTTTTCCAAGAAAATCTGTACCATTTTTTTCCTTAAGTGAAACGGTCAGAGGAGAAAACATGGAAGAAATGAAAGCCCTTCTACTGGTGGTACCCTAAAAAGCCAAAGCAAAGATTAAGATGTTTGTTATTTGCAATTCCTGTAGCATATTTATCTTACTACCTAAATAAAGCATATATTTATAGCCAATGGAAGCTTGTAGGTATCCTTCATGAAAAAAATCGAAGGACCGGAGTAGTTAATGGCCACGCTTCAGTTGATGGATTGTTTGCTCAAGTTTGCTATAATAGTTGGCTGAACACTAGTAGAAATCCTACAAGAAAATTTCCGCTTCTGAACGGTTGCACCAAGAAGCTCTCATTGGGGTGTGAGTGAAACATCCTGAAAAAAAGCTTGATCAACACCTGAGCATTGATCCCCTGAAGCTTACATACCCCCCACTAAGGCATGTAAAGAATGACAACTTATTCGATCAAATAATAAGCTTATAGCAGAAACTGGCAATCAACCATAGAAGCAAGCTAGTAGGTGGAATAAGAACCAAAAGCAAGTTTGAAATTGACAGAAATATATTACAGTAATGAAAGAACTATCTCATGGCTAAATCCTTAGGTGCTATCACTGAGAAATTCTAGCATACTAATAAATGCTAGATGCCTGGGAAAAATAAATATCTCTAAATTTAGCAACAAGGATTTAGGGAACTATAAATCAGTCAGTCTGGAATTGATACATAGGAAAATTCCAGAGATATTGATCTTAGAAACAACATAATAAGAATGGGACTTTCCATAAATCAGCATTAAGAATAATCTAAACTTAAGAATAATCTTAATACTTTTCCCAGGCATCTTATCTCACATTTTGATCGATATGGAAATTCTGTATATCTCAACTTCAGGAAAGAAATTGATAAAGGTGTCCACTGATGTGCCAGTTACTAAGCCAATGGTCAGGAAGAAATAATTCAGTAGGTACAAAAAGTAGCATGCTTGAAAGTTGTACTCTATAGATCAGAGACCCCCAGCCTATGGGCCAGGCTGCTTGAGTGTTTGGCCAGTGCGTGTGCACATGTGCATGTGTCACCTACTTGCACTGGTGCTAGCTGAGCCATGCGCCTCTCACCAGCGCTAGCTGAGCTGTGAGCTGCGTGCCAGTGCTAGCCAAGCCACGAGCCTCTCATCAGTACTAGCCGAGCTGCAAGCCGCGTGCCAGCATTAGCCTAGCCATGCACCGGCGCTAGCAGCCCCATTTGCGGAGCATGCATACTCTTGACACCGTTCACGCACACGTGCACACAGCCACATTTGCATGTGTGCGCATGGGTGCATAAAGGTGCCTGCTCCTTCCTTTCCCACCAGGCCGTCAACCCAGAAAGGCTGGGGACCCCTGCTATAGATGTTCATCAACTGTTCCTCACCAAATTGGAAATAGGTGCCACAACGATCAGTTTGGGATTATTTGTTTATTTAATTTTGGATGAAAATAAATGTTGAAATGTTAATCAATTTTGTAGATGATACAAAATTTTGCTAATATCCTACAAAATAAATAAAATTCAAAACAATCTCAGGTGAGAGAAATGAAGTAACAGAATGACATTTAACAGAAACATAAAATGTAAGGATGAATATTTGGCTTGGTAATGGTACTTATAATAAGGTCTTGAAACAGCATGTATTGCAAATAAAATACAAATCAACAGTTTGATGTGGCTGCAAAAAAAGGACATATGCAATGTTAGGAAAAATTCATATTTATTGGATGTGTTCAAACAGAGTCTTGACAACTGTCTGTCTAGATCAGGGGTGTTTCATCATACCAGAGCCGCGCCCATCCCATTCCCAGCAATGGTGAAAAAGCTCCGATACGTTGCGTGACGTCACGAGTTTGACATGCCTGGTCTAGATACTTTAAGTTCTTATACTAAGTTGGTGGTTCAGTGCTCTAAAAATGACACTTTGTAGTAATATGATTCTAAGAAAACCAGTATGATAAACACAATACAACTGTAATGCTTACAAGGGTACAGGTTTCACATGACTTTTCAAACACTAGTGTTGATATTAAAACCATAACTTCCTGTTATAAGTCCCAATCTGTATAAAGCTAGTCTACCTCACAGGGCACCACAATGGCACCACAACGCCACAACCAATTCAGAGAAACCAAGTTCAATAGAAATGAGCACCCAGGTGGTAGAAAGCTTTCATGCATTAAAAACTATACAGTTCTATCACGTTCGCCAAGCAAGTTAGTTTCGGACTAAAGCTTCTACAATTCCTTGTCATTAGCCATGCAAGCTGAATTTGGTGGGAACAGAAAATACAGCTGTTTAGAAGACACCAAACTGCCTATACATGTTTTATTGTATTTCATTGGGTTTATTAGAGTATATAGTTACATTCACATAACTGGCCTGCAGAATCAATGAGTTAATAATTTTTAGAATTTCTTTTTATTTCTATTATACACCCCCCCCCCAAAAAATTGGGAAAAAGTGTTTTTACGAAATAGGCTAATCAGGCAACGCTATCTACATACAACAGGTTCCCCACAAGATAGAAAGTAGGCGTGGTTCCATTTACCACGGAACTGGGTAGGCACAGCTCCCGGGTCTTGTCTACTTTCCTTCCTTCCTTGGTTTGATCAGGAAACAAGAATTCTTGCCTACAGGAACTCCTCTACACACAGACTGATATGGTTGGTTATGTACTATCAAGTGAGTGTTAACTGCAACAAATATCACTTCAAAATCCCGTTTTTGTTTCAATTATAACTCTATTGCATTCAGTGCTTAACAAATGAGCTGACTGCCATTCCAAAAACCGGCAACCGATACAGTTTATTGTATACAACGTTGCTCCCTGAAATCGTGGATGATGGGTTTTTATCACTCAAATTACATTTGGGCTTCCCCAACAAAAGGCTACATGGCCATTCAAATACAAACTACCTAAGTTATCCAACTGCCATAGTTACTACTGAAAGGTTGGTTACAAAACGGTACGTTTGCAAAGCCCAGATGCGCTCCGGCTACGATGAGCGGCCCGTTTTCCGCACAAAATCTTGGAGATAGCTCTCCAAAATTGCTGGGGTGGAGATGCCCTCCTCCCTCTCAGCTTTCATTTGAATTAAGTCGAAGAGGGCAAAAGTTTTGTTTCACTTTCTGACAAAAAGGAGAGGGAGGGGAGCCAAAGCTAAATTAGCGATGGTCCCAAGGAGAGACCCTTGAAAAGTTACAGCTCCAATTCTCTTTCTCTGAATCTTTCCCGTTCCCACTTACGTCGTGTTGCTGGTGAAGAAGCGAGCCTGAAGCTGTGCCATAGCAAAGATTACGGCCGGCGAGCTCCACAGTGGGCACGCAACACGCGAGTAGATGCCCGGCCTCTCCAAATCCGAAGATCCCACGTGGCTGAGATCCCCTTTGCCCAGTCCTGCTAGGCTCATGGATAGTTCAGAGAATGATTAGTAAGGTCTGTTCTTAAAGGTCAAAATCCAGCCTTGGAGTTTTAATATTTCTTCTTTCCAGGAGAAGGATGGAGAGATCGGTGATTTGGGGAGCATTTTCTTCCCCTGTGCTATTTTTTTTCTTCTTCTCTTCTATAACGCTGAGCTTCCACCACGTTTATTCTTTGAGAAACACGAACAATACTCTGAAATTTTGCAACGGCGTTCGTAGGGATTACGAAAGCCCGGCTCGTACAATTCCAGACAGAGGATGATTCTGTCAGTGTCAGTATTTTGTATTTTATTCTCTCGTAGCGCTGATAATATAGTAGCCCAATGGAGGGAAAAATGACTAAATGTGTCCCGAAGATCGCAAATCATTTCTTTAATTCTTTTCTTTTTATTTTTTCCTCTGTTCTTTTTTTTCCTCTTGCACTTTCTGTTCTCTCCTGAGTTTAGTTTGTCTTTTTTATTATTTTAAATAAATAAAAAATAGAGTAGCCGAATGGCGACTGTTAACAATGTTTGGGGATTTTTGTTTGTGTGCATGTTTTCTTTTTGCAAACATTTGCCTTACTGCTGCCGCCGCCGCCTCCCAAAATTAGCATTTCTATAGATACTCGTTTAAGTCGGATAATATAATTCAACCGTTCCCAAACTAGTATTTTCTCAAATGCCTGGGAATTAGAAGAACAAATCCAGCCCACAGAAGTGCAATTAACAACAACAACAATTTTCTGGTGAGGCACGGGTTTCCCAGCTACTGTACTCCTTTTCATTATTTCATCAGCTAATTATCATTTCAACCCTCTGCACAATAAATTTACTTCCAGGGAGTACGGGAATTCCCATCTCTGGAGGATCACATTACTACCGCATAATTTAGGCGTGATTACCCAGAAGTAATCCCTCTTCAGTCAGGGCGAGTCAGGCTGAACTGAAGTTTAAAGTAGGCACTCGCTTTCTTCCGCTAAAGAATATGAGGTGAACGGAGAATATGTGCACAGTATTTAGGACGGAACAAGATGAATGAAACGCGCGGCCATTTTAGACTACAATTCCCATGATGCAACTCGCAACCACATCATACTTTCGAGCAGCGACTTCAGCTCCTGCCTTCCATGCTATTTTTATCTAGAACGAAAAGCGGTGACTTACTATGTTCTGTAATACGTTATACCGAATATATAAACTATGAATTCCGGGCTGCCTTAGATAGATTGCTCAGGTGGGCAGGATGAAAATATTGGGAAAAAATCAGTTTTAAAATTCGAGCTTTTGGCTATATGCCTACAATGTGGTTTTTGAATGCATAGCTGTTACTAACTAGACAACCCGTGCCCCGGTTGGTTCATCGTTTCAGAATCCTTACCATAATCCTCAGTACCTTCAACAAGACAGAGCTTCTAATGTACTTATTGCTTTCACTGGAAAAGTTGGGATACATTCAGAAATATATCTGCCTTGAAAATAACTTATATTCTGAACAGCACAAACGTCAGCATAGGAAATGTTTTATGACTTTTTGTATTCTATCACAAACTTTTGATATTTCAAACTGTTTTATGTTATCTTATAAAATGTTTTATAAAATTTGCCAAATTTAAATTCCACAAGAGTCTCATATTTTGGACATATTCTGTTTATTAGCCCATTTGAGGTACCCTAGTTCAAAACGTTTTGCCCTATGGTCCACCGTTTTGCCCAGTTAAAGTTTACACTGTATATAGTATTTTGTATATTGGCATTGGAAAGTGTTCCAAACATTTTTTTTTTAAAATTCCTTACAGTCTCATAGCTTGCAATAGTCAAGTGTGCTTCTAAATCTAACAAAAATGGATTTCCAATTCAGAATTGAAATTTTCTATTTTCTCTCTGGAAATCATGTAAAAATAACTCATTTATAAAACTGTATATGTCATTTAAATAGAAAGTGAAATCTTGGTGAAAGTGCCAGATGGATAAAAATTAGGAATGCTAAATATTTTGAGAATGCTTATGCTCTAGTCTAGTTCACTTGTAACCTCAATGTTTAATAAATTGATTATAGTATTAATTCAAAAATTTAAAAGATTAAGACAAATTAAGAAACTATAACTACTGAAAGAAATGTTAAACATTTTTTGGGTAGTAGTAATCAATGCAGTTGCGAACAGCTACATTAAGAAATAATCTATGATAAATACGAGCCGCATTGGGGAAATACAACCTATTCCGCTTGAAAGCGTTTACTTTTTCTTTGTAAATACAACTTTATAGAATACCTATAGCAAAGTCGATTGTGATCTTTCCCTGATTGATCCAGCAACATAACTGAAGGCTAAACCTCTTCTTAATAACTTTTATAAAAACCCTCCAACAACTAATGGGAACAAAGATCGATTATTTATTTATTTATTTATTAACATCTCGGGATCTCTAGTAATGGCCTAAAAACCTCGGAACCGGAAAAGGTAAAAACACGTCACTTCAAGAAAGGCCTCGCTGGGGACTAGCTATCAGCGACAATCCATTTCCGGGAAGTACGGTGTCGTATTAGGTTGCCTTGAAAAGCGTTCGCGTGATGCTTCCACTGCGCCTGCGCCAGACGAATGATTCTATAGGACCTACGTGCTAGCTCCAAGACCAGATTGGGTAGACTCTTCCCCCCCCTCCCCCTGGTCTGTGCCTATTGGATGCTGAATCAGGACTGAGTCGCCTCTTCTTTCTTTATCCCTGGGGTACGTGTGGGCAGAGCTCCCCGTGCCAGGGTGGAAACCTTGTTCCTTAGTTTCCATCTTCCTTCGACTGTTGTCTGTGATTGCTGTGAAAAGATGCCCCGACGCGGAAATTTGTTTACTCAAGGGACAGACAGAAACATGGGAGGGGAGAAGGCATTTATAGGATTTGTTAATCTGGGGTGGGCGGAGAATTGACTATCGTATTAGCTTTCCTTTCTTCTGTAACCGGGTGTCAATGCAACCTCTAGTGTTGGAATTATAATCCCCATTATCCCCATTATTTCTCTGAAAACGTCATGAAATTCAAAGTGAAAGAGTGATTGGATGTCAGAGCTCTGAACAAGTCAGAATGGGCAGAAGATTTCCTTCTATTGTAAAGAATTGTGGTAGAATATATAAAGTTAGAATTCAGCATTACTGAAATTTATGAGATTCAAATAACTAACAGTGTAATGTTTCTGTATTTGTAAATGTAATTTTTGTTTTCTGTTTGCACATGCATAGTCCTTCTAAGCTTTATCTTTATTCCTTGTACAAAACCAGTTTCCTAAGAATGTTTTCCTTTATAGTTAGGGGTGATTAGAGTGGGGTTCATTAAGGTGCTTATTTATGGCCCCCATTTCTATATAAGTTCCTGAATCCTATTGTTCCATCTCTAGTTTGGGAAAAAATTAAAATATTGTTTGTTTCACTATTCCAAATGTTGCATTTTACAGTTTCATGTTATGTTTCACATTAATTATAAATATTGTATGGATATCTAAATTTTCATTCCATTAGCATCAAGCTATACATTTGAATGATAAATCCAATTAGACTTTTGCCTTAAGTATCATTTTTGCAGGACGGATTCATAGTATTTGCCATACTGTATGATTCTGTCTTCTTACTTTGGAAATGTATATCCGCAAACAGCCATTGGACCGTTGGATGCAAGATGTGATCTGACAGTTTCATTTGTGGCTTGGAAGTGTGAGAAGGAACATTTTATGAATTCAGGTTAACAAGAAGTATATAAAGAGCAGCAATTCTAGCAGAACAATTTCACTAATAATGGTTTCCCCAATTTTAGTACTACAGTTATGGGAGAAGCATGCCTAACCAAACTGCTTTTTAGTTCCTTAAATATGGAATTGGCAATGCTCAGGAGTTATTTGACAGCTCTCATAATAAATCTAACATTTATTTCACTTATTATATTTGGAGATCTTGGTTTAGAAGTCAACTGTAGGTTTTATTTAAATATAAATTTGAATACATTTGATGCCATTATCTTTCTAGATGAGTCATAAAGATACGTTGGCAGCTGCTTTTCCTTTTATTTGAAACTGTTACAGGAAAAGAGTAAACTCATCTAGACTAATCAATGTCAAAAGTCCACTTTTATAATGAATAGTCAATGTGCTTGGAATAGCATTCCAAAATTGGGATTCTTACCCAAATATCTATGAGTTAAATGAAAGTAACTTAGGATCAGGCACAAGTTATGCACAAATTAATACTATAGTTATTCAAAGATACTTTCTGAAATGCTTAACATTCTTGTTTGCTATTAGTAGCTTCTAATATTTAAAAGGTTTAGAAGAAGCCATTTTTAAGCTGAAAAGATTTACACTTGATTTTGTTAATATTAAAAAGTCAATGATTGGTACAAATGTGTAGCTCATTTTTTTTTGTATACATTGAATATTCATGTTGAAATGCAAACCGCTGAGGTTCTTTTTATAAAAAATGGCATGTTTCTAAAGACAATATTGAAATGGTAAAGCTAATCCAATCATGATACATCTTAGATATTATATTCAAAATATAATCCTGTTTACTTCAATATTTACATCAATCGCCAATTTCCATTTTCATGTAATTTTCAATTTTTGAATTGATGTAGCAATGCATAGTAGGGCTGTGCATCAATCTGGATTCAAAATGGGAAAGATGATTCAGGTCATATGCATGTGCATATTTTTTGTTGGAAATTCATTAAAGACAAGGAAAAGTCAATAGGTGTGATGTGTGTGGCCACATGTACTTTGGTCACTGTTTTCGATCTGGACTATTGAACAAGCCTATTCCAAAGAAAATGTATTACTAGAGTGACAAACCTATATTGAGTGATGGGATATCTAAACCAGAACTGAAGCATAATATGGTGTCTCCAGATGCACGGCATTTTCAAATTTCAGAGGGAAAACACTTCCTGACATTCTTCTGAAAGGTGTAGTTGGCATCTCAGGTATTGGCTACTAGGAGGGTTCACAGAAATCCAGCTCCACCATGTTCTCAGTCTCTATGTGGCCAGTTAGGTTAATGTCTGAATCCTTGTTAGATTAATCAGATCCATCCTAATAA